TGGGAGCTTGGGGGAGCCCTGGTGTCCCTCCGGCCCTTCCCAGGAAGCCCCGGTCCCCCTGTGCTCCCCTGAACCCCCTGTCAGAGCCCTGGGGAGCTCCTGCTGTGTCCCTCGTACCCTCGGTGTGCCCCTGGCCCTCCCCACCCCGGTCCCGGTGCTCTTCGGGGAGCCCCGGTGTCCCCCCACGCTGCCCCTGCACCCCTCCCAGCATAGCTCATTGGGGTGCTCCTGCCCCTCTCCCCCAGCACCAAACCCTGGCGTGGCCAAGGCCGCGGCAGTCGATGGGGACAGAGCCCCCAGGACCACCGAGAAGGTGACTGTGGCGCTGGTGACCCACACACTGAGGACCAGAGGTGACAAACCGTGCCCTCGCCCTCCATCACGTCCCCACTGCTCCCCACTGCTGGGGCATCACCTGGCACTGACACCGAATGGCACCCCGGGCTCGCTGGGGCCCTGAGACCTGGATTTCACCTGGAAAACAAACTGTTTCCAACCTGCGGGCATGTGGAAAACACACAATGTGCCCCGAGACCTCTCCAAAGGCCTTGGTGTCAGAAAGGCAATAAAGAGTTCTGCTTTAAATATAATTTATACACATTTTTAGGGTGTGATTTGTATCTACCTGTCTGTATTGCACATACAACATTATGTTAATGCCTGGTTTGGGTGACACAAGTTACTCATGACTTGTTCATGGTAATTAACTGGCAGTACCGGATATTTCCCACAACAAAACTTAACTTGGCATCTGTGGAGGCGGCAGCGGGTGCCCCGTGCTGGTGGCTCATGGCTGCACGCCTGACGTGGGGCTGACCCATGGGGCACACGGGTGCCACCTGGGTTGGGGGAGGCAGGGGTGGCGGTCCCCTGGGACGTGCAGGTTTGGTGGCAGACCCGCAGGGCTGGGCAGGAAAGGGCTCTGCCCACAGTGGGGTGTGCTCCCCTTGGGCCAGGGGTCTATCACCTTCTCCCCTGCCATGCTTGGACACAGCTTTTGCTCACTCATGGCTGGGTTTGGAGCAGGATTTGGCCTCATCCTTTCATCCTGGCATCTCCCTGTTGGGCAGCCTCAGAGACCTCCTAGGACACGCTGTCCCATACCCTGTCACAAGCCAGCCCCACAGATGGGGGGTGAGAGAGTCACAGGGGGATCACAAGCTGCTCCAGCCACTCACCCCAGGGAAAGGAGTCTGGAACAGGTCATCTCCATGTCCCCAGCACTGCGCCTCATCCCTGAGAAGCAAACGCCATTCTGGCCCGGCAGCCACCTCCACCTCTGCGCTGTGGCTGCCTTCCTCCTGCAGCCAGCACAGCAAAAAAAAAACCGGCAAAAACCTTCCAGCCTCTGCAAATCAACACCTCCCCTTCAATTCAGCTGAGGTTTATTGGTGTTCCCAGCACAGAGCCCTCAGCACAGATGTATATGTGTGTGTGTGCCTATAGACACACATATGTATATACCCATAGAGGCCCTAAGCAGTTGTGCTGATTTGTGTAAATACCCTATTATCTATGCATCTCCTTTGGCTAGTCTGGTGCTAATATTGGCACACATAGAGTTACTTTCTACTTTCCAATAGCAACTGTAATATCATATCATCCCTGACTTCATTTACGAGGTGTAAGGGTAAAATAAAATAAACATTTATGTAAATTACTTTAACTGGTAAGTAATTTCCTGGCTTCTGAATGCTTCAGGTTTTTAATGGTATCGCAATTATGCAATGCATGTAAGTTGTATCAATTATATCAAATAAGTCCAAATTAACCAGGCATATGTGTGAATTCCCCAGTTTAGAAAACTAACTTAATGAATAAGCATGGAGCAAAATTTGAGATGCGGAAGGGGTTTTGTGCCAACAGCTATATTCAAATAGTCACCTGTGAGCATGAAAAAACCCACCCTCTGACCTGATTTTCGGCGAGGATGCCATGGCTTGCAGCCCCAGCACACCAGGGGCAGACTCTCCAGGGATCAGAAGCGGGGTTATTTAGTGCTGGATGCGTGCTGGTAGCCAGTACCAGCCGCCCTTCCCTTGGCCGCAGTGCTCCTTTAGCTGGAGGGAGGGCCTGAATCCCGGAGGATGCCCGAGGTGATGGGAGCGGCAGGCAGCGGGGCAGCACGGAGCCTGGGCAGGCAGCGGGGACCCTGCTCGAACCCCTTTCTCTGCAGAGATTCACCTATGGCTGGGATTCTCTCAGCCCAGTCCCCCAGCGATGCTCCAGTCCTCCTTTTCTTGGATGTCACATCTCTGTGACCTGAGCAAGCACGGGTTGATGATATTGCTGAAGGTATTTTTAGCAACACTGCTTTGCAGGCAGGCAGAGAAAAGGCAGCAACTGGCAGGGCTGGCTGCCAGCGGCACCCTCCTGCGAGCACCCCGCAGGTAGCATCGACATACCGACAGCCATCAGCTCTGAAACACTGCCCTCCGCGGATGGCACCGCCTGCCACAGGGCACGCTGCTGGGGACGGTGGGGGCTTATCTTGCTTTTAGCCCAGCCATAACCGAAAAGCATCGCGGTCGCAACACGGTGAAGTCAGGCAGGTTAATTCGCTTTTTACTTGGATGAGGGGAAGCTCCAACAATCGAAACACATTGCTGAGTGGGGCCTTTTGCATTAGGCATTTGTTCTGCCCCAAGCAAATATTTAACCTACATCTGTAAGACTGCTAAAACATCCCCCAAATCCCAGCAAAAATTTAACTCCCTCCCTTCCCTTTGAGCAATCCAATAACCTTGTCCAGGAATGCAGGCAGGAGCATACCTGAAGCCTCTTGTACACTGGGATGCTCCCTGTAGAAAATTCCCACCAGAAGCACCAGACATCGTGAGAACGTGTCCCCAGAGCACAATTAATTATAACCCAGCTCATTATTCTAATTTCGCTCCTCCTTGAGGAGGTAAGGGGATTTCTTGGCATTGCTGAGGCAGGGTTTGCCAAGCCAACACAAAACACTCAGCAAAGCAGGAACGAGCCCCCCGCATTACTACATGACCGTTTTGCACAAAGATAGGAGTTTTAATTAAGTCTTAGCATGCTCCTGAGAAATTTAATACTCATTTTAAAGTTCACCAACTGAATTAATTGAACCCGGAGGCTCTGATCCTTGCGATACGGTTGTGTTGAGCTGGGTGGAGAGCAGGAGCTGGAGAGGGGTGTTGCAAGGATTGCTGCCTAAATCTGATGCATTGGGATGCTGCCGGCCTCGGTAGCAGCTTTAGATGGTGGCAGGGGGCTCCGCAGCTGCTCGGCTCAGCCCCCGTGGCCAAAGCCTGTGAGCCGGTTAGGCCAGGTTTGGGCTGCCAGGGTTCTGGGAGCAGCCCAGAGCAGTGTGGAGCTGGTCCAGAGCCGAGGAGCTGGCTGGTCCGGCTGGGAGCTGCTGCATGCCACGGCTCAGCTTTGCCTGTGGCCCCCCATGCAAAACTCTTTTATATCAAGCAAATGAAAAAAAGGCGACATCTTTTTCAACTTGCTATATTCAGGTGGAGAAAAACTCTACAACCCACATGTCAACCTGCACGCAGTCAGGGGAGAGTGGTGCAAAACGTAGCAGCCATCAGATTGGTGGCTCTTGCACCCCTCTGAATTTCCTACCTCTGACTGCATTGCAGAGCCATGTAACCAAAACTTCACCCTCTGTGTCTTCCTTTTACCTACCTTTTGTCTTTGTCATATTTTTCAGCTGACTTCAGATACAACTTGGGTTTGGCTTTCATGCTGGTGCCTCCCCTAAGCAAAGCACTACACAGTTCATCCTGTGCCACACTGGCTGCTGGAGAGCTGGGAGCTGCTCTGTGGGAGGACCGCATCTCACCTGCTAAGTCATTAATTTTTCATGGCATTAACCAACACAGGCTTGTAAAGCACTTCTTAGAAACAAGGCTAAGAATAAGCACGAGGTGTCTCAGCTGAGGCTAAAACTGCCCCATTGGCTGTGGAATGCCCATGCATAAAACCAGCAAGGAGGTGGTTTTATACCAAGTAAATTCCACCCAGGACATTTTATCCAGGAAAAAAAAAAAAAAAAAAAAAAAAAAAAAAAAAAAAAAAAAAAAAAAAAAAAAAGATTGTACAGAAAAGATCACTGTATTCCAAGCATGAGGCCCAGGAGATCCTGGAGCTCCTGGCCTGGTAGGAGCCCACTGGTGGTCCCCTGGCCGGGACATTCTTGGGACTCTCCACTTGGGACCTTGGATACTTTCTGCAATTCTTTTTAAATTAAAAAAATGTATGAAGATAGAAGCTGCAGGTGAGCAATTGGGATTTTTTTCAGAGATTTGCTACTTGTGCCACTCATTTTCTCCTTGAAGCCAAGCCCTTGCAGTGCCACCGAGCCTCTTACTCTGGCTGGGTGACACTAGTAACAGGGTGTGCAAAGAGAGGGTTAGGCTTTTCTCTGCACAGGCAAAAGTGATGGGAGCCATCTCCTTTAAAAAAATAGATTCAGTTTTCAGCAAAACCATTTCTTTTTTAGTGCCCTCCAAAGCATTCTTGGCTTTGGAGAAGAAATGAAGCAAAAGCAGTAATTCTGAATAATTTAGGGAATAGAGTTTTGGGGCTGATGTAAGTGGATGTGCCATTCTGGGTAGGGCTGGAGGAATGCAAGGCTCACTAATAATATCCAGCTAGTTTAGGCATGGGAACAGGTAAATCAGTAAGAGCATCTAGAGGGAAATACCCCTGTGGTCATAAAGTAAATGCATGCATGTAACAAGGAAGTATTGTGACAACGAGATCCACAAGATGGGCTCAGCTCATCCCAACTGCAACGCGAAAGCTGCAGCTGACAAAGGGACAAACATGCAAATGAGGTGGGATATTCTCTGATGGAGTTAATAGCCTTCCAGCTAGCTGGCTTTGTCTGCTCCATATCGAACGGTCTGCAAAACCCACTGTGATTTCACCCCAGCATGGGTCCAGCTGCACTGGTGCTGCTGCCGCCAGCTCCTCAGTGCACTCGGTGTCACCTATAGATGTTAAGGTGCCTGGGGGCTGTTCAGGGGGCACAGTCCAGCCGTGTCTCAGTGCCAGTGTGTGTGGGATGCCATGCCACTGCCGCTCTGAACCTTGGACACCAAAACTCCTCCACAGCAGGACAAAAACATTAGCCCCCCTGCATTATTGACACCCGTTATATATAATGGATGTCCCAGTATTGACACTCGTTATATATAATGGATGTCCCAGTGCTGGTGATGCAGCTCGGAGCCCCGCAGCAGCGGTGCCTGTGCCAGCTCCTGGGTGGGCACCAGCAGAGCCTCTGGGCCACAGCCTGGGGACACATCGGCTCAGCTGTGCCCAGGCACCCATCTGCACCTGACCCACCCGTTTCCATGGCACCCTGGGGATGCTCCCACCACTTCCCTGCCCTGCCAGACCATCTCTTCTTCACTGTTATCTTCCTCGAGATGAAGCACGCCAGCCCACCCTGTACTATCACAGCTTCCCACTTAATAAGGAAAAAGGCTGAGGTCTTTCAAGTTACTGAAACCATGGTGATTTAATTATTGTGGACCCAGCTGGGACCATATTCTAATTTTTTTCTTCTAAGGTGTAATTGAGAATTGTGAAGAAAATTGCACTCAATTAATAGGAAGAGTTGCCAAAGAGCTCCATGAAACTACTACCAGAATTTTACAGGGAAAACTACTCTTTCTTCTTAAAACTTAACACACAAATAGATGCACAACTACCACACAAACTCATCCTGTTTCAAAACAAAAGCAAAATTTCTTGTTCTGTTGGTGCTTCAAAGACATCATTCTGTCGCAGCAGACTACAGAACTGAAAACTGCAAATAAAGTGCCAGGATTGCCTTCAAAGCAGGTTTTGGGTCTTCTGGTTCTTGGCTAAGCCAGTGGAAGTTGGGTAGACAATCAAAGGAAATGTTAAATTCCAGCCTACTGTTAAGGTTTAGGGAAAACAGAACAGCACGGCACTGTGCAAGGCTATTTTAGAAAAGAAAACTTTTACATCTATGCCCAATGAATATTAAACAGCCCCATGCTTTGGCTCTGCTGCTTGCGCCTGGCACTGCGTGAGCGGATTCAATCTGCCTTTATGAAGAGGAGCGGACCCAGACCCATATTTTTATGCATATACACTAGAGATGAGCAGGATGTGAAGGGTGAACCCAAGTCCTCTCTGCCAGGAGATCCCTTGAGCAATCACTCACAACTGGAAAAACGAGGAGACATTAAGGAAAATCTGGCAGCGCAGGCAGAAGAGTTTATGCAGACTGATGTGGAATAACTGCCAGCTTGCTGATTTTTTTTCACACAAACCTTCCTGAACTTTCACGTCTATTTTGGGGATCCTAGAGAGGTGTTCGGTGTAAAAATAAGGATGAGATGGAGAAAGAAATAGTACATGAGGTGGGACTGAGGCATGGCTGGGGCACTCGGCATCCCAGGCCAGGAGGGACTGGGACTCTCCAGGGCTCATGTGGCTCTCTATTCAGCTACCTTCATCTTCATCCCACCAGTCAAAAAGTGCTGCTTAATTAACCTCTTGGGAAACAGTGGCAGAAGAAATACAGAGTCTGTATGCAAACATCCAGGCATGTTTCATGGCAATTACCAATCCAGAGGCATTTTGCTGGTTTTCATCCCCAGCCTTTGTTTTTGATGCAGACTCTGCCCTGCTCACCCCCCAGCCCCACCCCACTGTTCTCACCTGTGGGCCTGGCCAGGCAATCCCTGGTGCTGGGCACATTTTTTGGAAGCGTCCTCCTCCACAGGCCAGTCTCTGCATGGTGCCCGCAGGTTGGCAGAAATACCCCCCGAGGCTGCTGCTCTCGCCATCCTCGCCGCGGGCAGGGATGCTCTCCACAGCCTGCATCCCGCTCCTCTTGCTGCCACCCTTGCTCCAGCCCTGGACCGACAGCCCCGCCAGCGCGCACAGCACGTGCATGGCTCGGCACAGCCTGGGAAGGGGTGCCAGGCTCCAGCGCTGGCCCGTGGGACCCCTGTCACGGTCCTCCCTAGGGCCCTGGGAGCAAGGCAGCCTGCGGCAGCCCGGGGCTGGTGTGACCGATGCTGGCAACAGCTCTCTGGGATGAGACGCTTCACTGCACTTTTCCACACATGGTGCCACGTGGCTGGCACGCTGGCACTGCAAAATAGTTGTCTTTTTGTCAGGGGCTTTGTAAACTCTGTCCCAATCTCAAGGGGTCCCTGAGTGAAGCCTCCCAGCAGTTCTCCTCTTCTCTTGTTAAAGACCAGTAAATGCTTTCGTGAAGATGGTCTGTAATGGCACCTGGTCCCAGAAGGGTCCCAGAGGCTGATGCAGAGCTGGGGTGGCAGGAGTCCCCAGGGATGCTCCACTCACTGCCAGCCTCCCCAGCGAGCAAAAGCAGAGGATGGATTCCTGCACCCAGTGACAGCGTCGCCACTGAATTTCTCAGCCCACACCAACCTCCGGCAGCTCTGCCCCGTCCGTGACCAGAGACGTAGAAAGCAAAGTCCCGTCCGCTCCCATCTGCCAGTGCATTAAGAAAATGATAGCCGATTAAAGTCTGTCCCCTCCTGAGCACTACTGGTCGTGGGCAAATTGCTGACACAAACCTATTTAGGAGCACTGGCAGACAGGTGGACTTTCCTCCCTCAGCAGACATCCAGATTTAGATGGGTTTGGGGTTGCTCAGGTCTGCTGCTCTGAGCATAGGCTGTAGGCAAAAGAATGGGTTTAATTGCATAGGTGGGTTAACTGGATATTTTTTTTCCCCATCACCGGTTAAAAGGTTGGCTCAGGCAGTGCCCTTTCCTGTCGACGTGCTCCTCCACTGCACACCACACAAGGATGCCAGGATGTATGCCCACAGCACCCCATCAACCTGCATTGGCTGGAAGGACCCTGTAGTGCCAAAACCTCTCCAGTTTCTCGAGGCAGGCAAGCTAGAAAGCCCCATTTCCCTCCCGTTAACCTCCACCTGTGAGCACTTTAAAGGAGGCAGCCAAGAACAGTAAAACCGGGGAGATTTGCAAAATAAACAGGGATCAAATGCAACGACCTCGGTTCCTGCTCCAGAGGGCGTCTGCCAAGACACACAGATCGTATCAGGCTAATTTACAAAAGGAAAACTGCCCTAATTAGTGTTCAGGAAAGCACTTTAATGAGAAGTGCTTTAATGTAAAAAGCCAGAGCGTGAAGAGGTCAAGTCCTTCCTAAATGCCAGAAAAACAGGAAAAGGGGCAGAGCTGATCTCTGCCCACCCAGGCCACAGCAGCATTTTCTCACTTTTTTAATAGTATTTCAGGTTATTAGTGAGGAATTTATAAAACCCAGAGCCTAATGCCCAGTGACAGGGCAGAGACACTGTACACAACATACGCTGAGCATCGTAAAGTCAGATGTGGACAGCTCACCCGGGGAAGGGTTAGGCAGCCCTCACAGACACCTCCCCTCCTATGGCTGGAGTTTCCCCTTCCGAAGGGGAGACCAGAAGCCCTGTCAATGCTATGAGTCCCGTCTCGCCGGCGGCTGTGACGGCGGCTAATAGTAACCATGGCAGCAAAGAGATTTTTCACGTGATATTGGTATTTCTGCAGCACAAAAGAACCTCTTAGCTAGAATGAGTAGCTAGTCTGGCTGGTCTTCATTCCTCCAATTGTTGCTAAGGCAGAGCAGCACGGCACTACACGGCTCACGTGATGCTCACCTTGGAGCAAATCTGGACCATCCACGTGGAGACCCACAGGCTGGGACATATGAGACGTTCCAGAGTGCAAAAGGATGCTCACAGGGTGCTGTGGCAATGGCCCTGCTGCGTGGAGGCAGACCCGACCCACCACTTTGGAACTGTTAAAGTTGGGAAGAGAGCAGTGGCCATCCTGGCGAGCTCGCTTGCAAAGCGAGCGTCTGCAAGGCATGTGAAGCACATTGGGCCATGCTGTGCCCTGGATGTCACAGCCCACAGCTGGCGGGGGTGTCCCCAGGCTGCCCCATAGCATCCCCACAACCTGATGTATCTCACTTCTTCAGCTGTTTACATTTCCCCCAAAATTCCTTCCAATGTATCCAAGAAAACAGGTTTTAGACTTTAGCCATCTGACTTCCAGCTCTTCTCATGCAACAAGTAACTTTCAAAAGCAGAAAAAAAATGCATGAAATAACATAGGTATCTATGCTTTACTTCTTCAGATGACCCAAACCCAACTCTGAGCTGGGTATTGCTCAGATCTCCCTAAGACATTCACCCTAGGACATGAACTGAAGTTGGAAAGTTTCATCCCAAAATAATTGAGGAAAGAATGAGAAATGGAAAAATGTCATCCAGCCTGAGCTAAGCCCGAACTGCTGTTAACAAACACTGGCATGGGCACCAGTCAGCTTGTGTACCTCTGTGTGACCCCCTCCCAAATGCTGGTCTGGCTTTTTTTTCAGGGTGTTAACTCCAGTGGGACCATTACTGCACTTCAAAGGAGCTGCGTGCTCAGGGCAGAGAAAACCAGGCTCGTATTAGCTTCATTTTAGAGGAAGGTGAAGGGATTCAGGGGAATTTAATTGTAGCCATGACTCAAAGCAGATCTACACAATGGAAAAAATATATATAGGCAGAAAAAGTGGTTTACAGACTGTTTCTAGAATTAGGAGCATGTCCTGCTGGTTAAAGTCTCCAGGTTTCAAGGTTAAAGTGCTTAATATTTTTTCAAGCTTTCTAATTAAACATCATTTAACTGGGCTTTCTATTTATTCTGCAATTTCTTTCTAGACCTGAGTCTAATCCCCAAACCTTCTTATATGTTTTTACTTTCGTTATAACTTTATCAGTGATTAACCTGCAATTGCACTTAATCTTTTTAAAAGATTGCTCCCACTATAAATACAGAGAAGCTACCTGCTCTGTTTCTATCCAGAGGAAAACAATTTCTTCCACAGCTAGATGTCTGTGGTGGGTTATATTAGTCCGTTTGTAAGTTTGGTTTTTTTTTATATCAGTGACATTTGTCTTCTCTAACTTCTTACAGAACATTAAATCAGTATCACTTTTCTGAAAGATGTAACAGCACAGGCCACAAGGAATATGAATACACCTCCAGTATAAAAAGTGTATATATATTTAAAGTATCTATCTATATATAAAATTGTATATATATACACACATATAAAAATAGTATATATAAAGCCTCCAGTAAAGATGCTACTTGTTATAGCGAGGCAAAACCTAACACATTAATACAGATCCAACAAGAGCAACCCCTGCTTCTTCCTTTATCAGTTATCTGTTCCACATATTTCACTCAAAAGCAGCAAAAGCTAAAATACTGTTGCAAGAAAATCTGGTTTCTATGACTATGGACCTCTGAGAAATCTTCTAATCAGAAATACAAATCAGGAGGAAGACTGCAATGCAGAATTTCTAGGGTGCTGGACTGACAGTAAGCAACTGCCCAGCAAGATCCCCCAAATACTGCAGTAATATTATTAGACGATATCATCGATCCAACACTTAAGGACATCAAAGCAGAATGAGCAAAAGCTAATAAGAAATGCAGTAAAGGTAGATGGAGTGTGACCAAATCCATCAGGAACATTACAAGGGCAGTGGAAAGAACGGATCTTGCATGCTACAAGATATTTAATAGGAACGAATGCAAAGGAAGCCCACTGCAAATGCAACAAAACTGGTAAATGAATGGATTTACAAAAGTCAGTAGACAGCCAATTTATTGCAACCCCTCAAACAAAAGGCACTAAATGAGCTGCCCATCTCCTTAGCCTGCCTGTCATTTCTAAATACTCTTGCACAGCAAATAGATCTGCTCCACTCTCCAACCCAGCCTGCAAGTCCAACCCTACCTTGACCTAATTATTACCTGGAGAATAATCTCTCTAAAGAACTAAAGCTGTACACAGATTGCAGAGGAGGATAATTTCAAATCTCCCCGCGGTTCCAGAATTACCAGTTACGTATCCATCACCATCTAATGCTGCATGTTGAAAACTAAAATCTTCACACAAGTATTTGCCATTTAAGCAAGCTCTTCTCCCTCCTTCTGGTGATTAAAAAAAAGAAAAAAAAAAATCACAATTCTTCTACTAGCATTATGTGATCTCTGAGCCTCTAAAAAGTTTATTGGAAAATCTGCAAACGCCATGTGAGGACTTTCCTGGCTCCATCGGTGACCCAGTGAGCAAAAAAGATGGAAAACAACTGGAATTTTTAAATAAATCCACAGCAAATGAAGGGCAATCTACATGGTGTTTATTGTAGATATAGTGAATTATGAAAGACATTACAGCCCACTATTTATTTAAACGCTTTTTCTAAACCGTATCAAATTGTAGCAAAAAACCAAACCCTCAGTTTGACTTTTGCACATTTCCTGGTTTGATTATACAAATATTTATATAGTGAAAAAAAAATACTTTGCACTCCCCAGCAAAAACTTCTCCCCATCAGGAAACCACTTGCAAATGACTGAGGATGAGAAGTATTTAGGGAGGTTTGTGAGAGCCCAGGTTTTCCCCGGCAATGTTAAGGGCAGTGGTGGCTTCAGACCCTCCTGCAGTATATTTTAGCTCATTAAATTTGTTTGAAAGAGATCAAGCCATTGTTAATTAACACCAACATGTACTCTGGCTTTTTCTGCCACAGGAATCTATTTTGCAAGAGAGGGAAAAAATGCGACAAAATAAAACGACCCTGTAGGAGGTGAAGCTCAGCCCCAGGCTGCTGGTGGGTGATCACCCACGTGCAGGGTGACACCAGTGCTGCCACCTGTCACGAACAGCCCGGCTGTCTCAGGGCCAGACCTGTGAAACCTGCAGCGCTGCTCAGTATTTGCTGAACATCTGAAAAGTCCCTTGGCTGTGGCGCCGGGGCTGCTCCCTGCAGCAAAGCCTGCCCCAGCTTCTCCTCCAGAGGATGGAAGCTGGCTCCTCTCGATGGAGCCAGCCGTGCCCCAGAGACGTGGTCAGTCGAAACCTTGGGGAGTATCTGCATCGCCTCCCCCGGCACCGGCTCACCCACCGCTTCTTGCCACCTCTCAGCCCACCAGCAGTTTGCTCTGGTTGGTGCTGGGTTGGAGGAAGATGGAGAACTGGTGGTGCTGGAGGAAGACTGGATCCCTCTAGCCATCAGCTGGGCATGCTGGCTGCAAACCAGGTGTTCACCTCCCCATCAGTGCCCGGTCCCCACACAGCCTTCACAATCACCCTGCTGCAATGATGAGCTTCAATGTGGGAGATGTGGCCAAGAGCCAGCCAAGTGACCAAAAGGGGTTGGAAATTGGCTGCTGGAAATGTGGCAGATCACTGAGGTCCAGCAATGAGCACAGGGGACCACCTGCATTCTTGTGCATGCTTGTTTGCACGCTACAGGCTCTGGCCTCTGGAGTGTGGGCTGGGAGAGGAGAGGACTTAATGCACTTCTCTTCCCATCCCACCTGGAAACCAACATGGCTCCTCCCTTCCTGCACTCAGTTCACCCCTCTGGGCAGCAGCAGGTTGGTGCACCTATGGAAACCCAGGGCTGGAAGGGATGTCCATGTCCTCATCCATGTGCTTCTCCATACCTGGAAAACGCTCATCAAATCTCTCTGTAACAGCTACCAGTGATAGAAAGCCCACCACCTCCCCACACGGAACTCCTCTTGCCAGTGGCAATCCCAACATGGTTTTGGCACCACACTGGGACCACTGAGCATACTGCAGACTATACACACTGGGATGGACCTCAGCCTTCTGTGACAGTGTGATTTGGTCTGTGCTCTGCTTGTGAGCATAGTCCACATCCTTTCTGGATGAATCACTCTCCAGCTGCTGCTGACAACCTTGAGCCCAAACCTTGTTGTTTTTTTTTTCCCCTGGTTGTTTCTGGCCAAGCGGTGACTCAGCTGTCAGAGGTGAATAACTCTTCACACTTTATCTGAACACTCATTAACCATCCAGAGCCATAAAAAGCGATTTCTTCAGGGCTCCCTCTCTGTAAGGCTGGATTTTGAAGCAAAAGGTCTGGCCTGATGTTTAGTGGGAATATTCATAGAGATGCTCAATAAAAGTATGTCTCTAGAGCAAAGGAACCTTGGATGGTTCTGGGTCATATGGCAGAGGGTTTTATCAACAGTGGGTGAAGGTCTAGGCAGACAAGAAAGGCAGATCCTACCTGCAGCACTTAGTGAAGCCTACAGCCACTGCATGGAAATTGTTAACGACAAAAAGCTTCTACCCCAGGCATTTGCCTGACTCCTACTCCTGCTCTGTTTTTACTTTCTCTTCTTTTTCATCGTCTTCTTTCTCTGAAATCTCAGCAGCAAGGATTTCTTCATCCTCTTGTGCAGTAGAAATCACGCGAATGGTGACTAAACTATCAGAAGATTTTGAGAATATTTCTTCTCCCAGCGGGGTGGGTGCTCTTTGGTGGGTGACAGGCGATCTGTGGTGCGTTGGTGATTCCGGTGGGACTGGACTGAGGCTGGAATCCTGTAATCAAAAAGAAAAAAAAAAAGAAGAAGGCAAGATCAACCTTAGCAAACCCTTATCCACTACCCCCAACCACAGCGGTTGCGCTGCGCAAGCCAGGTAGGTGTTTTGCAGTTTCACCGCAGCAGACCCCATCACTGGGATGTCAGCTTGCTGCCAAAGACGGCTCCTGTGAGAAGGGCAGCTGGATTATATTCTGCACATAGAGATGAGTGCAGCGAAGCCTTCTCACACCTCCTGCACTTGCTCTTATTTTGCTCCTGAAGCATCTGGAGTGGTTTATCTTGGCAAAAGCTTGGCAGAAGTGTTATTGTGAGGGAGCAGCTCTGTCCTAAAGCCTCCTTTAGGGAGGAGCCTCAGAAACCTCATCTACAGACGTGCCACAGAGAGGAACATCCTTCTGATGGGGTCCCTTAGCGGGGTTAGCTCCTAACACATGCACCCGCTGACGATGGGCCTTGTCACCACTGTACGGAGCGTGCAGTGTGCCTGTTCACTGCTGACTTTAACTGGTTATTAATTAGCGTTAAGCACCACATTGTGTGAAGCCTCATTGTGCTTCTGTGAAAGACTGCAGAAGTGCAATTATACTCAGCATCTCCCTGGATATTTACCCAGGCTCAAGGCCACAGTGCGCTGTTCCCTATCAGCTGCTCTTTCACCTCCCTTTACATGTCCAAATATGATAGTCTGTGTAATTCCATGATGGGAAGAGTAACAACAAGGTCTGCATGGAGATACAGTCCTTTTTATGAGTTTAGCAGAGACAATTGGAAGAAAAAAAAAAAAAGAATAGCAGGGCCATTTTCCTTTTCAGTTGCTCATGACAAAAAAGCAAGAGTGATGTCACTGCAGCTCACGCAGAACTAGCAGGGTGGCGTGTCTGCTGCTGAGGGGCTCTGCCCCAACCGTGCCATGAAAGCTTTGCAAATATTGATTGGCCTGTGGATGCTGGATGCCAGCATCACCTTCCATCCTGCCATCTCATCGATTCATTGTGAGTGGCTCTGTCTCTGTGACATGGAAGAGATGTTTCTCTGTGGCTATAACCCAGCTGGAAATTAGATTTAGGCTTAGCATAGCTGGGCAAAAAGTCAGTGTATATCCCTTTTGTGTTGCAAAACAAACCCCTGTGGGACACTGTCATTCTCCCAAGGCTGTGTGTAAGATGCTGTACCACTCCTTCCCATCTGCCCATGCTCTCTCAGACCCCAATGACCTGAGCTCACTCCTTTAAGGCACCTTAACGACACTCAGTCTCTGGAGCCAGTGGAGTGGAGCGGTGACTTGGCACCTAACAAAGCAAACCCAAATTGCTATCCTTCCCACACTGACCTGTGCTGCCTGCATCTCCTTCAGCCTCCACCGGAGCTGCGCCAGTGGCCCTTTGTGACCCATCCTCCCTGAGGCAGCTAGAGCAGCCTGGAAGAGTTTTGGGGTGTCAACTTTTGGGCGAATGATCAGGGGGTCTCCAGGCGCTTTCTCATCTCGGGGTTTATTGTTGGTATTCAGCATTTTTCTACAGCAAGGTAAAGGAGAGAAACAAAGCCAACAGTGCTGTTAGTCTGTGCTGGCACACAGTCTGGGTACACGTTATTTTAGCTGGATTTCATAATGCATAAAAAACAGCCGTTAAAAAGATGGATTTTTATACACCTTGGGAAGGACAGAACAACAAATCTAAGTAATGCTAAAACATAAAGTGAATATTTTAATAGATTTTTAAATTAATTCCCTTTGGTCCCGTTTGTCCCCGAGTTGCTCCCCTGTCAGTGGTGATGCTTTGCAGCAGGGCTGGGCTGGCGCTGGGCACCTCCATGCCCCCAGCGCAGTTCGAGGGACGGGTGCCCTCTGCCGAGGCACGGCGGCTCAGCCCGGTGCTCTGCCAGGAGCTTCCCCAGGGCTCTGCACCCACAATCTCCCCTGGAACTCTGAAACCCATGATCTGCTTTTCTTTAAAACCCCACAGGCTAGAAAAGCCAGACACGCACCTGGCTTTCTTACGCAGCAGTTTCTGAGACTCTGGATAATGCACCAAAATCTCGTTCAAGTCCTTTTTATCCAAAATGAAAAGGTTGGCGAAGCCGTGAGCTACAACATTTGCTGTTCGGCGATTTCCCCCTCCTGCCGCCAGCAAGCTGAGAGAGACATGGTGAGACATCAATGCTGTCATTCACAGGCTCAGCATAACTTGAAAATCTCCCTTTTTCAGGTCTCCACTTCCCTCTTTCAGAGGACAGTTTAATTTTTGCCCCCGATGAGATCTTCCAAGCCCAGTTTTTAAAGACTGATGTGAAACGTTGGCATGGAGCGCTATACAAAAAATTATTTGCTTCTTTGTATGTTTAAATATTGCATTTTACACCAGCCTGGTGTCTTCTGGGCAGTAGGGAGGCAAACTCTATAACTGTGTTACAAATTGGTACAGGACTTTAAATGCCCATGAAATGGGCAGATTAATGGCTGGGGGGCTGCTTTAGTGAAATATCTTTTCATATTAATTTTCCCATTCCTCCATATACCTCTGCTTACTGTCACTGGCTCCCCAGGCAGAAAATAGCATGATGACAAATATAATGGAAAAACTCCAAGAAAAAAAGCTGTCATTTGTGTAGCAAATGCTGTTCAGTGTTTGTGGCTCTCAGTCACAAAAATTTAATTTGGCTGTTGCTGATTCCCCACCTCCCACTGCCCTTGCCCAGAGCCCACAAGCTGTATTTCCCTGGCTGCCTGGCATTCCTTCACTCACCTTATTTCCCCGAACACAGACCCAGCTTTCAGAGTCACCAGCACGGTTTTGCCATCGGGTCCCCCCAGCACCTGCACTTGTCCCGCCTGGATGATATACATCTCGCGGCCAATTTCTCCCTGCAATGAAGATAGGTGCTGTGTGGAGTGCCCAGAAACAGGGAGATGTTATGGATGCCCTAACCCGCATCTTGCTGGAAAACCCCACGACCATACTGCCCTCTCCAAGCTCTCAAAATGCTTTGTCCTGACGGTGCTCACTCGGGAGCATCCTTATCTAAGCATCTCAAAGCCTCCTCCAGATCGGCAGGCTCTTCCCTGCTGTCCTGCTGTTCGTAGCTGCAGCAGAAGAGGTCAGTCTTTGCACAAGACCAACTGCAACCGAGGATGTTTTTGCTCTGAATTCGCTCCCTGTGAGACAGCCCTGATGCCATGATGACGGGCCAAGCCTGGCTCTCCTCACTCTGCACTGCTCTTGGTGCCCTGCCCAGCCCAGCCATGGCACTGGGGACGGGAGGGCACCTGAGCACCTTGTTACCTTCTTACACACGTAGTCACTTGGCAGGTAGACCACTGATCTGAGCCGCTTCAGCATGTCAAAGATCATCTGCCTGTCGCAGCCCTGAGCCGAAACAGAGCCAAGAGTGCTGTTAGTCTATGCTGGCATGGTGGGCTCCACCGGCCAGGACCCGCGCAGAGGGTACCTGAAAGAGGGCCACTTTGCTCACGATGTTGTAGTTCACATCAATGGCAATGTCCAGCCTCATCTTGTCTGGCAGCTGCACCAGCAACTCCAACTCATCTGTGGGACAAAGCAGAAAATGGGCTGTTTCCAGAACTTGATCCAAGAGCATGTCCTTGGCATGGCAGTGGGAAAGCAGCTGTGTTCTGGTGGCAGGGGGCAGGAGCAAGCCTGGGTCTCCTCCAGCCCACCCAGCAACCTGCAAGTCTAAAGCCAATGGGTGACAGAGACCCATCCTTCCCATCTTCTCTGCCCTGATGGTTCTCAGGAACAGGCCAATGAGTCCAAGCCAGCATCTCTCTTGGCCAGGAGAGTGGGTGCAGTGGTCCTGTCTGACCATTTATTGGTAGGGCAAGCTAATGGGCTTGCTGTCAGACATGCTCTGGCCAGTGATTGCCAGTCACTGCCCTCTCCCCAGGAACCATGGGTGGGATGCTGGACTCAGCGCTATGAGTGATGCTGGGTCACTGTGGCACTGTGACCTGGTGGCAGCCTATATACTCTAGAGGTAGGCAAACAAGACCGTATAGCAAAAAGTAAAATAAGTCACCCTCCACCCCAGAACTGTAGTGCTATTTGACAGTAACGTTTCAGTTCTGCAAAGCAACCGCAGTAAAACACATGTGGCGCAGGACTTGACCCTTGGAGCGGTTGGGTCTCACCTAGCATGCCTTGCGAATGCCATGTGTACTCGTACCACATTTTCACTCGGTTCTGAACAGGTTTAGGGATTCTGTAGAAGTTCATGTATTTAATGGTACTGTCCATGCAGCTCCGATAGTAAGTTTGCCCTGCAGTAGCAGCACCAACCACATCTCTCATCTGAATGGGAGAAAGAGGTGGAACAGATGTTTTAATTACTGTCACTTATCCATTCTGCAGGTTAAGCAGTTAGAACCCATATGCTGGGTCTTAACAGCATCTGCTGAATCCTTTCTGTCTTCCACCAAGGCTGAGCAGGTCTTCACATGGGGAAAACAAATCTGGAGATACAAACCTGTAGACAAATCCCACCAAAACCATCCCCACCTGAGATTGGGAGCCCCCACGACTCCTGCTCACCTGCCCTATCATGACGGAGAAAGCAAAGACACCTGTGAAGTAGTTCAGCAGCTGGAAGACAATCTCAAACAGCGTCTTGGGGTCTGGCAGGCCCCCGATGGTGATGAGGGTTTTGACTGCCCAGTAGTAGCAGCGGATATAGCTAGGAGAAAAAGAAGAGGAAGCTTTGAAGGTGCTTCTGGCATGAAGGTTTCTTCCACCTCTCAGTACTGATCTTATATCCTCTGGCAACGACAAGCCAGAGCCTGCTGAGAGTAATTATGGGTGATGAAGTGAAAATTAAGGGGCTGCAGACTCCCCACCTCACTTGCATGTGCTTCTGGAGATGCTACAGGAGCTGGGAAACATAAGGACCCTTCAGAAACCTTCTTTCAGGAGGCTGAGCTGCTCTGGTTACTCCCATTGTCTATTTCTTATGGCTCTGCTACCATAAACCAGCAACGTACTTTCAGCAAGATTTACACTTTTAGAAATAGTCAGGGGAAAAAAAAGGGGGTTGTGAGCAAATTGTTGGCATAGGACTTGGGAGACATCAACTGAATTCTTGATTCACTGGTCTTGGGCACTCCCTTGGATGTTATACTCACACTCAGAGATAGATACAGATATGTATATCACACAAAATAACTCTATAGCACCTACATTAACATGGGAAGATGAGTGCTCAAAGGGAAGGCAACACCTGCACTAAGGCTGCATGGGTAACAGTTACTCGTTCTCACCTAAACCCACACCTCATGTTAAGTCTTTAATGCACTTGCCTGTGCCTTTTTGCAGGAAGCTCTCATATGCTGTGTGGTGGTAAATTAATCAAACGTTACTCAGTATTTTGCCCGTGTTGCACAACACGTAGGTGTGGGCATTTGCTATGAGGCAGCGTTCAGCTTATGAGCCAAGTACTCTTCCTGTGGCATCCAGCTCTGACAACGCAAAGGACATTTAACATGTGTCTTGGAAATGCCACCGTGAGGGATGGGGTGGCTGCTGTCCCTGTCTTGCCCCCTGGGAAGGAGGGCAGTGGGCTGGCCTGAGGGGGCTGACACATGGCACCTCGGACACACAGCTTCAAGCCTCCATCCTGACCGGGCAGCAAGTCAACACAAACAGAAACATGGCTCACATTGCCACCTTGCTCGGCTGGGGAGCATTCCCTTGCTTCCCAGCACCAGGTTCCCAGTTTTTCAGCCTCTTCAAGCTGTCATTGCCTTTGATCTCAGCCCAGCTGCAGCCTCTTTGCCTTGCAGCACCATATATATCTTCAAATCCCATTCCTCTTGTCCCCCATTATTCTCCCTGGCTCTGCATCTTCTGCTGGCACTCCCAACCCTTTGCTTCAGGGGGTTTTATGAACCCAGCTGGATCCTAGTATCTCCATTCTTGCTCCAGCTCATCACCACAAGCTGTGCTATGTGAGGACCCAAGCCCTGGCCTGTACCTGTTTCCTTCCCCATCATAGACCCAGGTGGTAGAGCCCAGTCCTTCATAGTCTGATGCCCAGTAATAGAGGCAGGAGTTCACATGCAAGCAGTACAGTAAATAGGCAGTGGTCCGAATTACTCTGCAAAAAAATAGAAAAGAGCAGGAGAGATGATAAGTTATCTGCTAGGAGAAACACATCAGATCCCCTTTGGCATCACAAAGAGCTTTGACATGGTGAGCCGAGCGCGGACCATGCAGGTCCTGCCAATGCAGGAGCCACAGAGCACCCAAATGTGTGGCCCTGCTGCTCCCTCCTGCAGCCCTGCAGCTCCAGAATTGCTAGAAAATGCAGCTTATCTACTGGTGGCTCTTCACCACCAGCACCCCTGTCCCCACCAGGTCGGGGAGAGGTGATCCTACCCATGCAGGCTACAGGACCTGCACATCCCTCCTGCACAAGCCAATGCAGGAGCAGCAGGAAAATAAATCAGAAACTCAGAAGGGGTGCATGCCAAAGTGAACCTTCTTCCTCAGTAGCAAACAACCACTCCATGCTGTCTCCCTCCCTCCTTTCCCCTCACCTGTAGATGTATGCCTTGCTCAAGATAGCTTCCAGGCGGTTGTTGAACTCGAAGAAGGCCAAATACTGGGAGGAGAAGGAAAACAGCATGCTCCAGCTTCCTGCACTGGGAGTTACAACCCCATAAAATCCCACTCCCCCTCTGTATCCCTCCTGAAGCCCCTGTGCAGCATTTAACTGCCACAGACATCTTTGGCTCCATCTCTCAGTTCCCTTTCATTCAAACGTGAGGATGTTTTAGGATTGAAATTAAGTGTTTGACCAACAGCCCTGCAAAGCCTTCAGGACAAGACTTCCCATCCTTTTTACAATTCTGTTGCCTTCATTGATGAGTGTAGCAAGATATAGCTTTCCCCAACCAGCGTGGGACTCCACACCTGCTGCAACTGGTGTTCTGCCTGATTTTGTAAGCTCCAACTCACCTTCAGACAGCGAGGAAAACGCAGGAGTGGGTTGACACCAACTTTGAAGTACAAGAAATCCAGGGGCAGGAGGCATACCACATCCATCTGAAATCCACACAAAGAGAGAAACTTCTGGGGGACCTGCAGGTGTGGTGGGATGGAGCTGCAAGCCACAGTTCAGATTAAAGATTCAGATTAATAAATAAAATTATGTCAAACCTTAAAGCGTTCTGACTGCAGGTAGTGCTCTTTCATGGCCTTTTTATCAGTCTGGTTAGAAATAGGAGGGGGAGAGAAGAAGATTAATCATTGTTTGCAGAAAGCAAAGTCACGGCCAACTTTGTCCTGCCTGGCTTTCCTGTTCTTCACCACAACAGGGAAGATGCCTCCTTTACACCTGGAGCAGAGCAAGAGGACCAGGAGAGGACCTGGCTTTATGCCATCTTCCCATCCTATCCCAGGACATCCCGTGCTCGATTTGCACCCCAGAGAAAGCACATCACAGTGACAGCACCACAGAAAACAGAGTTTACAGGAGAAACCTCCTTGTCTGAGCATTTGCATGGGCAATGGGAAGGCTGTACCCTCAAGGTTTTCTTCTTCACAGCTTATTTAATTGGATATAGAAACAAAATCAGGGGGTTTCACTTATCTCAGGCATGTGATCTATGCATTCAGATTGAGATTGCTTTTCACAGAATCATCTGGGTTGGAAAAGACCTTGAAGCTCCTCCAGTTCAACCATCAACCTGTCATTGACCCAACTCCACCAGATCCCTCAGCGCTGGGTCACCCCAACTCTTCAACCCCTCCAGGGATGGGGACTCCCCCCCTGCCCTGGGCAGCCCATTCCAACGCCCAACAACCCCTTCTGCACAGAAATCCTTCCTCAGAGCCAGCCTGACCCTGCCCTGGGCAGCTTGAGGCCATTCCCTCTTGTCCTGGTGCTGGTTCCTTGGCTCAAGAGACTCATCCCCCCTCTCTGCACCCTCCTGTCAGGGAGCTGTAGAGGGCCAGGAGGTCTCCCCTCAGCCTCCTCTTCTCCAGACTAACCCCCCCTAGTTCCCTCAGCCGCTCCCCATCAGACCTGTGCTCCAGACCCTGCCCCAACTCCTTTGCCCTTCTCTGGACATGCTTGAGTCATTCAATGTCCTTTTTGTAGTGAGGGGCCCAAAACTGAACCCAGGAATCGAGGTGCAGCCTCACCAGTGCCGAGTACAGGGGTAAGATCCCTTCCCTGTCCCTGCTGGCCACGCTATTGCTTACACAAGCCAGGATGCCACTGGCCTTCTTGGCCACCTGGGCACACTGCTGGCTCCTGTTCAGCCAGCTGTAAATCAACTCCCCCAGGTCCCTCTCTGACTGACATATCATAGAATGCCTTTTGACATATCATAGAATACCAGCTTGGAAGGAACGTCAAGGGTCATCTGGTCCAACCTTTCTTGGCAAAAGCACAGGCTAGACAAGGTGGCCCCGCACCCTGTCCAGCTGAAAAGTGTCCAATGTTGGGGAATTGCTAATGCATTCTGCCCAGCTGTGCTCCTGAAAATTAAACCCATTGTTTATTATGCTCATGGCTAGAAATGTGTGGCTGCACTGGGGCCAGTCAGTGTGCACCTCGCACCCCACCAGCAGGGCGGACCCATGGAGCAGCACCCTCTGAGCATCCCCACCCAGGACCAGAGGCCACCACGGACCACACACTTTCTAGATGGGCTGCTACTGACTTCAGAGGAAAAATATATATGTTTGGCAGACAAAAAGACTGCTGGCTTATTGACTGCCTGGCAGGAGAGGTTCTCCCAGTCCTCCAAGAGCTGACACAGCCCTGACAGCCACAGCCATCGTGGGAGAGCTTGGAGACCTTGATTCAGAGTGACCAGCACCACCCATGCCACCCAGGGTGACAGGGCTGAGAGGTCCCCACAGCCAGTCCCCAACAGTGGTATGCAGAGTGCTGCCACTCACTATTATGTCTCCCCCCCGGACAAACTGCAGCCGGGTCTGAAAGACGAGGATGTCCAGCAGATAGATGAGGTCGCAGAGGTAGTCCATGAACAGCCAGCAGTGGATGTTTGATGGTGTCTGGTAGGGGAAAGCCCAGCGGACGGGGATCAACCAGCAGTTCCAGTTCCAGGCCATGACAACGAAGAACAGCCACAGTACGTACATCAGATCTGCGCACAGGGAACGACACAATTACCTGGGCTCATGCCCCTCATCTGCAGAGCTATGCAAAGGGGTTTTCATCTCCTGACCTGGCCCAAGTGGAAGAAGGAAACCTGCAGGAGGTCTCTTATCAACAGCACTTAACTGAAAGTGAGCTAGGCTCTGGATGCAAAGTGCATGGCTGCAGAGCACATTGGTTTTTAACAGAAAGCCTCTTCTAACTTTGCTGTTATACTGGGTTTACTTTTGCTTTGCTCCCACAATACCAGCTTTCTTGCTTTGCTTTTTTCCCCTTGAGGCTGTGCTGAGCCAATGACTGGGGGTTTCAAAATAACTGTGAAATAGCAAAGGCTAAAGAGCTGGGTCCCTGTGGGGTATCCACTGGACAGTGGATTTTTTTTGTGCGATTCTTATTTTTATTTGGGGTGTCCACGCCACAGGGACAGTTTGTCCACTAAAAAGCCTGAAAAGCAGAAGGCAACTGCCCTTTCCCTGCTGGTCATGCTCCTGACACCCACAGCTATTAGGAAGTGTTTAGGAAAGAGTGTGCCTTGCAGAGGAATTTAAAACTCTCTATGTTAGTAGAGAGATGTAAGCTAAGTTGCTTAGTTGTCCTCCCCCTTCTACAAGGTCTCATCTTTTACACCTTGTCTCCTCCTTACTCCCTCTCCCCAGGACACACCAGCTTGCCCCCAGCCTGGACTCATGGCTATGTCCCATCACTCACTGGTGAACGGGTCAATGCTGCTGGGGAATTGGTAGTTTTTCAGGTGGTACAGCCAGGGCCGGCACTTGAACTTGCAGCACAGCATCTCGCAGTAGTGCTCATCCCCTGCTGACTTGTCCCCCTCTGGTTCCCCTCCTGGGGGAGGCACTGGTGCTGGTGCAGGTGCTGGCTTGGCAGGGGCTGGAAGAGGCCACACAATTGTTTTAAAGGGCAGAAAATCATCTTACAGCCATTTGTTTTAAGGTCTTTAAACTGTTAATAAAGCAGTTGTCTCCCTGAAAACACAGCAAGCGTGGGGACCCACAAGTTAAACACTCCCAGACTCACTCAAACTTACATGTTGCGGGGCTCTCATCATCCGAGGTGATATCAGGGTCAGTCAACTTCTCCTTCACCTTATCAGTTCTCTCTCTGAAGAGCTTCACCAGCTCCTGGAGCCGCTGGTTGACGATGGCACTGCTCAGGCTTGTGGCTGAACCGGTGCGCATGGGCAGGCTGTGAGAAGACCATCAGGGATTTCATGCAGGTAGGAAAGCCCAAGGGCAGGGTCATGACCCATTTTTTAACCTACAGGATCCTCAATTAGGGTTTACCTATATTTATTTGGCTAATGTGCAATCAGAATACAAGTTAAGGTGGTTTCAGTAAAAAAAACATCAAGAATCACCAGCCTAAGCCTCATCCTTGCCCTGGGGTGTGAGATGCCCTCAGTCAGACTTGATAAGCACTAAGATCCCAGGCTGGATTGCCTGTGCTTGGGAAAAGATTCTGGAAGAACTGTGGGGTGAAAACGTGCACCAAGCCCCTGAATTTATAAACTACATTATCTCTTTCCAGCCTCTTTATTAAAACTAGGACAGATTGAGACAAGCCTGCTTTACCTAGCATGGCTGAGAAGCATCACTAGGAGGGAGGACAGAAACAAGCTCATCTGCTGTAGCTCCCAGCGGCTTTGTTGTGATAATTGGCACAACAATTTCTGCCCAGAAGGAAGGCAAAACCCTGCTCCACATGGAGGTGCAGACCCTCCCCAAGACTTCGGTTCCCAGGGAAGGCAGGTCCCTTGGGCTGCAGGGAAGCCAGGACCTGGGGTGCATGATGCATAGCTTGTGCTCTCTTCCTATATGGAAGAAAAAGGTAATTTCTCCAGAAACAGTAAAAACAAGGTGTCCCCATAGTGCTATAGTGTATGTAGATCAAAGGTGCATCTTCTCCATGGTTAAACCTCATCTTAAGGAGAATATTTCTACCTGGATACAGGAAAAACAAGAGAACAGTTTCTGCTTTGGGAAGCATCACCATTATTTTTGGAGATGGGGAGCATTACTTGTTACACAGCTCTAGACCCGCTGCAGGTACAGCTCCTTCTCCCTTTGGTATCCCAGCACTTCTAGGATCTTTGCTATTTCCACCTGAGCCCCGGGATCCGAATGCCTGGGACCTGGGCTGATCCAAAGCCCTTTGGTCCCACCACACACCTTTCCCTCTGCTCCTCGTCCCAGCCCTGCTGCTCTTGGGTGGGCAACTGGCTCACTGGTCCCTTGTCCAGACCATCCTCAGGGGCCAGCAGCTTCCTCCTGCAGACACAAACACAGCAACTGAGACTCAGCCTGTCCCCCATCTCAGCCAGCTCCTTTCCCTCCTCCTCCTCCCAGGTCTCATCTGTTTCCACTCCCCCTTCTCCTCCCAGGGTCAGTTTTCCCCTGAGTTTTGGTGTTGCCCGAAGTAAATGGGAGCAAACCACCCCACTCCTTTGCTGCTAAAGCCCTGTTTCTTCTTGGGCACCACCGAGCCCAGGGCTGCATGGGCATGCAGCCACATGGCCCTTTTTACAACCTATTTTGGGCACCTGGCAAGATGCACAGAGGGTGGGCACCCCTCTGTGCGCATCCCCAGTGCTGCACCATCACACCCCTACACTTTGAGTGACAGGCAAAGAAAATGCAATGCTGGTAAGGGGGAGCAAGAAAGTGAAATCTGGAAAAAAGCAACGGCACTGGGGACACTGCCTGCCTCTGAGCTGGCTCCGTAGCACTGTAAATCCCCAAGACAAAGAGGGAATTCCAGAGCAGCAGGTACATAACATCAACCCTCTAATGGCTGCTGATATCTGCAAAGCCAAGTGCAAAGTGCAACAGCCAGGAGCGGCTCCAGGTTCAAGAGGAGCCCTGGTGATGCTGAGCCAGTGGCAGCTCACGTCTTCACGGAAGATGCGTCCTAACACAGCTGGTAGCTCCCTTTGGCACAGACTGGTTTCTGAGGCAACTTCCTTACATGTGGGCAAGCAAAGTGGCAGAAGGAGAGCTGAATATGAAAATGTTAATCACAGTAAGAATCTGGACTGGTTTGCAATCCTGCTGTCAAGTACAAAGTTTCACTGTGACAAAGAAATTGTCTTCTGCCACCACAGCTGTTGCTCTAAATTAACCAGGATCTCACTGACCCGGGTGCAAATGGCTTGGTGCTGGGTGTGGAGCAGGAGCAAGCAGGATGCCAAGGAAGGTCATCTTGCCATCACAAGCCTCCTGAAGAAAGCCAAATGTTATGAACCCACCCATCTCCAGCCCCACTGGCTCTCAGGTGTGCCCTGCTAGGATCAGGAGCAGATGAACAAGGGCAATGAAACCTGCATTCCCAAACCACACAGAACAGGGGCGGAGGAAAACCACCAACCCCCCAGTTAAAGTACCCTCAGATGTGGGTGGAGAGGTTCCCCAAACCACATCAGTCTAGAGAAATAGTCCTGCCAAGGCCTATAATGTTGTTAGGACAACATCCATCACTTCTTACCAGTCTCCAGCTGCCCTTCCCCTGCCTCTGTCCCCTCAGAGCACCACGCTGCTCCATTGCTCACCCTCAACCATGAGCAAGCCCAAGACGCCTACACTGACAGCCCGATGTCCTTTTGCTCTGTAAGGGGGACCCTGCAGAGATGGTATTACCACCCCCCACCCCCCCACACACTTTGCCTGTGGCATGGCTTCCCATGGGCCACAGAGCTCACGTGGTCGCCCTCCGAGTACAGGCAAGGCTTTGTGTGTCAGCATCCATCTAGGAAAAAATGCCCCTTTTTTTGATTAATGGGTGCCCTCAGAAAGATGTAAAAGTTGATAAACATCCTCAGGAAGGCTGTAAATCCAGATGTGCAGGAAACATCCCTTGACATTCTGTGGTGCCTGTAGTTCACCTGTGTTCCCAGCTGATGTGGACATGAGGAGGAGTAGGAGCTACTCAAAAAGCAACACAAACTTCAGCAGATTTTGGAAACTGGTAGTTGAAGGGCTCAGAGGGAACCTGGGGTCTAACATTAAGTCCCATGGACAAGCTCATGTATGTGCAGCCCTAAGTCCAAAACCCTGGCAGGTCTAAACAGTTTCTCAGGCATCGGTGGGAAAAAAGGAACCTATATGACAAACCCCTAGAAAACATTCAGTCCATACATACAGTCCAGCTGCAGGGGACATTTTTTGGGACAGAACCTCTAGACTGCTGGTCCAAAAGGAACTACAAAACAGATTTTTTTTTTTCCCACTGATGCATAAATACTTCAAACTGCATCTCCTACAATATGAAGTGACCTAAGAGATGCATAATTAGTGAGGAGGAGGAGGAGCACATGTAGACCAAGTAAAAGCTAAAGGTGAAAGAGTAAATGAGTAATTAAATAATTAAATTAATTAATTAATAGTAAATAGAGAAGTGTAGATGCACAGCACAGGTACAAAGAGCTGCACGAACTCCCTAGCACAAATATGCAGGAAGCCAAGTATGAAAGAATTTGAATACAAACCATAAAAATGTGAATTACCACCTCAAGAGACCAGGTAGAGAGTGCAAGTGTCTAAATAAAGCTATAGCATGAGCAGCACGAGGCCGGCAGTCACTGCCTGGGCTTGGCCATTGGTGTGGACCACGGGTGGCTGCTCTGCTGCTGCCCAGAAGCAAAGCCTCCAGCTGTGCTCAGGTAGCTCTGTGCCACCGGTCCCCACGCAACCAGACACCAAACAGCCAGCTGGGATGGAAGACCCCGTGGCAGCCTAAACATTGCTCCACATTCAATGCCCTTGGAAAGCTGCAGCCATGACCACCAGGCTGTCCTGTGCCTGCCCAGAGGGTTTCACAGGGTCCCTCACGGGGCCCTGCCCACATGGCATTGTCCTGTGTATCCTGGTATTTATCACCTGCAACAGGTTGTTTCCAGTCTGTCTTTTGTTAACCTTAATCTTTCACAGTCTCACATGGGAAAAAACCTCAAGACTGTGGCCAACAGAAGTGACTTAAGATAAATGGATGATTGCTCAATGTAGAGTTAATGTCCTCTTCCTCTGAAAACACCAGCTGGAGCCAAGATTTTTCTTCTGGTTCACAATGGTGAAATTTTATTTCTTTATGTAGTGACACAGGAGTTGCTTGCTTTTAACAGTCTCTAGCTCTACCAAGGGACCTCCAGTGTTGTCTTGAGACACTACCTAGAGACATGGTAAGGTTCATATGCTCATACATGTAACCACAAATACACAACTGCTTTAAGAAACTGGTAGAAAATTGCACGAGAAAACTGAGGTGCTCCAAAAAATAGCTCTACTGGGGAACCATAGGATCACAGAATGGTTTGGGTTGGAAAGGACCTTTGAAGACCATCTAGTCTGACCCCCTTGCTATGGGCAGGGACATCTTCCGCTAGATCAAGTTGTCCAAAGCCCTGTCCAACCTGGCCTGGAACACTTCCAGGGAGGGGCAGCCACAGCTTCTCTGGGCAGTGTCTCACCACCCTCACAGTGAAGAATTTCTTCCTTACAACCAATCTAAACCTACCTGCTTTCAGTTTAAAACCACTGCACCTTGTTCTGTCACTACATGCTCCAGAAGATGTCTTCCTCTGTCTTTCTTATAAGCCTATTGAAAGGCCGCAATAAGGTCTTGATGAAAGATTTGATAAAAAATGATGCAGGGGACAGAATTGCACATAGATAGGTGGATCTAAATAAACAAAGGTTCTGCCTTTGGATTGCTGGACCCTGGGCTCCAAAGATGCCCAAGATGTGCATGACATGGGCGTTAATCAGAATTGTTGTCCATTTTCTATGTCAGTTGAAGGCATCGGAGAAAGCCTATCACCTTGACCCTGATTCAGGGTGAGAGCTGCGTGCCTGATGGGACTAGAAAACATGGATGTCTGTCTCACAAAAAGAGCCTGTCCTGTTCATTAACTTGAGAGAGAAAAATGCATCCAGAGCAGCGACTGCCAAAGCTGTTTTCCCAGACTGATCCCGAGCACTCTGTGGCCGAGGTTGTGAGCCTCAACCACTCTCCAGCGATGAGCTTGTTGTCACAGGACAATTTTCATTGCTGGGCTAATAGAAAAAAGGCAGTGAGATTCAGCAGGCTTTAAATAACTGGCTTCTTAACGCTGTCAGTATTTGCACTGCAGGTATTTCATTTGAGTCCTTGAGCTCTGCTTTCCAAGTTTAAAAATCTGTTTCACAGACTGGATTATGGGCATATTTGCCATTTTATTTCCAAGTCCCCTAAGAACATTTTTACTAAAAGTTCCTAACTATTATGTGAGGATGAATATAATAACTGGTTTTCAGCACAGAAAAAAAAGCACCTTGGTTTTTATTTTTAGCCTTCTGCAAGGATGAGCCTCAAAAAACCCTCCAACTTTCAAAACCCACCAGCTTCTGCCAGCCTTAATTGTCAGGCTCAGTTTTAATCCCCCCCTCTATGAGAACCCTTGATCCAAAGGTGCAAAGCCAGGGGAGAGATGCTGCAAACCCTTCCAGCAAAAACGCAAGAAGAAAACTGAATTTTTTATGATGGTTTTTATGATGAAGGCCTATACCCAGCACACAGACTCCCCATGCTCTGAATTTTGGAGCACAGATGCGTGCGTCAACAGACAAATGGCATCTGACCACAGCCTGGGGGTTGAGCTACTCTCCAGGAGAACACACAGACAGGGCTGTCCCCATCCCCCAAAAGCTTTAAACCAAATTTAACCATTTGATTAAAAAAATGCAAACAAGAGGCAATGTTTGTGCCATCTGCCCTGTCTTGCCCGGGGGTGAGACCCACCGCACACACATCACCCCGGCTCACTGCCCAAACCTGCCAGAAATAGCTTGCTCCATATGGTTGTATAAATTTTCATGTACCAGCACCATCGGGGGAGTGACACCCTTGGGAGCCGGGGGCCATGCCCGGGCAGAGCCATACCTGGGCGATGCTGGTGCCGTGCCAGGCACCACCAGCATGTTGGGAGAGTTGGCAGTGGGCACTGGTAAGTGGGTACCATCGTTCTCCACAGTATCCTCTCCGCTGTCCACATCCTTGATATCCACAGTGGGGTAATTGCCTGGCCCATGGAAAAGGACAATAATTGTGGTGAGAAGGGTGCAGGGCCCAGCATACAGCCAGGTTGAGTCCCCAAGCTCCATCACTTCTGTGGAGCTGCCCTTGAACCCCGCGGTGTGCTGGAAGGACTCTCCTTTTCCCTCCATTCCCTTCTTGCCTGGTACTCCGTTCTCCTAACAGTTTGGAGCATTTCTTTCCCTTTTTCACCCAGTTTTTAACACTATAAGAAGTGCCACCTGCTTCCCTTCTGCTTTCCCAGCTTGCAGTGACTGCAACTACTCTGTGCAAGCTTTGGGTCCCTGTGGTTCAGAAAATGATGGAGATGAGGGTTACCAGCTGTGGTGTCATTCAGGAACCCAGGATTTCCAGCTGCAAACCTGCCTCCCAGGGTCTAGAGAATCTGGGTCTTCTGAACATAAACATATGGATATGCAAGCTCTGAATTACACAAGCGTTTGCTTTTCATGCAGAATAAGGCACTATTTAAATAAGCAGAGCCTCTCCCTTTTGCAGAGGTAATAACTGCTTCCTGCCACAAGCAAGATTAGAAGCAGGAAGGTTGGATGTTTATAGTGGTTAAAGAGAGATACCAGTGCCCCAAGGCAGAAATAGCACTGTGTTATCTTGACTAGACACCACAGCTGGCTGGGCTGTGAAGTGCCATCCCTTTTCTTAGTGATACGATAAAACGCAAGGAGTTCCTGCAGGGGGGGGGGGTCTCACAGGTCCTGAAAGAGCCCACACATCCCCTCCTGTCCCATGCTCATGTGGGACCAGCGGATCAGAGCGTGGCTCGATCAAATCATTCAGAAAAGGCCCGTTTGGGTTGCAAGTTTACATCCCATTGCATGGAGGGAAAAGCAGCAGAATCTGGCTCACTGGTTAAAAATGAAGCAAAGCAAAGCTACAGAAACATAATTTGTACTTCTGGGTTAAAAGGCGGAAAACTGTGAACAGCAAGCCTTCATCTTACCATCCTCCTAGTATGAATGGGTTGCACAAATGTTAAGGAGAAAACTGCCTGTGCAGCAGATATTTAACCCTCTGCCTGCAGGTCCTTCGGGAGGGTTTTCAGCCAAGCAGATCAAACCATACAGCATATCATTTATAGAGATCTGCACACGCTCTCAGCACTTAGCTAGAAAGGCACATAGGGATGAGGCAGAAGCAGAAAAAAGATGATTTTTTCTCCCCAACCTTTGTGCCGCAACATGAATTGTGCTTTTTTTTTTTTTTTTTTTCTTTCCAAAAAAGCAACAAAAAGCAGCTACTCCAGGAATAACTCCTTGCCCCCCTTGCACTACGCAAGCCCATTGTCAAAGCCAACAGCTCTAATACCTAGGGGGGATTGCTCCTCATTACAAAAATTGGGGTTGACAACTCCAGCCTTTGGCTTGCTGGTGACAAGGACGGGGATGCGGGAGGCAGCGGTGGCTCGGTAGCTGGGGACATTAGGGAGCTGCTCTAGCACACCACGGCCAGGGGGGGAGGCGTCCCTGCCATCGAGCGGCTTGTCATACACCAGGCGGTCGAGCTCGACGTCTCGGGCACGCCTGGACATGCTGCTAGGCGCCTAGGAGCTTCAAGCAAAGGACAAGGCATCTGAAGCTGCAATAAAACACAGAGTGGTTTGAGACAGGACAATTATGTCAGCACAGAGAAATGCAGGGCTGCTGGGTTTTTTGTTGCTGCCCAACAATCATGGGTGGTGGTAGCACAGGAAAGTGGTGGTGAGCATCCTACCACGTGCTTTTCTAGCATTGCTGCAAGGTCAGGGTGCTCTGCGAGGGCTGCATCAGCAGAGAAATCCCCAGCTGTAGCAGGGCTCAGGTCAAGCCATCCCTTGTGCAACTCCCCCGACGTCGTGGAGTTATGTCCAAACCTGTCTGTGCTCACTAAGGCTGCAATGGGAACTCACCATCTAATTTTCATTACCAATCTATTACCTCCTAAAAGGTTACATTAAAATGCGCTTTATGCCACTGGTTATTTCCCAAATTGAGTGAAGTGATAAAATCCTTTTTATCCTCCCCTACATTCTTCAGCTGAAGGAGAAACTCTTACTTCACATCAAAGATTGCTTAAACAATAAGACTAAGCACCACGTAAGCACCAGCCTTTCAGAGCTAGCTCTAGCTGGTGACAATACGGTGTGGCCATCACACTGTGCCCGTGGGATGCTTTAAGCCAGTGAAAAGTACTGATGGCCCACACTGCAGAGAGCCCAGCTGCCCGCTCCAGGACAGTGAGCGGTGGGCAGGGAGTAGCTGCATTTTGCCCCTGCTGGGAATCACATTGCCTGCTTTGATTCATCCTAATTTGACATTACACTGCTCTATATTATACCTTCAGCATCAGTTTCAGCAGCTTCAGCTGTCTCCTCTTCCACCTTCAAAATGAAAAAGCCATTTTAAGGAGAAAAAGACCTCCTCCATCAGTAAAAGAGCATACTTGGGTGCCCCATATCTCCCCACCATCCACCAGCCTCTCAGCTTGCTGTTCAGTGCCAATGTTTTAGGGTGAAATCATCCTCCCCTTGGTGCACAGCTACTGCTGCTGTCTCAGGTTCAGAGATGGGGTCATCTCAGTGGGCAACATCCCCAGTGCCCATCCTGGTCCCTGCTCCTCGTCGGGGCACTGTGTCCCCACGGACAAGCTCTGAGCCCTCAGCATGCGCTGAGCAGCAAGAGCGCATTGCAGACCTGAGCCCAAGCAGGGAGCGATGCCATACCTGTAAAAAAGCACCTTCAAGATCACTTATCTCAGGTTCTTCCGTCTGCTCAAACCTGAGAGCCTCCTCCGCAAAGTACACTTCATCCACACCCTCGTCAATGGTCAGACAAGGCGACAGGAGCAGGGGTCTGGGTGGTAGAGAACAAGCAGAGACAAGCGCCCAAGTTCATTTTTGCCCTTTCTGAGGTTGGGGACATTGCAAATGGGGGGACATCACGTCATGGAGGGGAATCAGGTCAATGGGGACGATGCAGGATGATGCATGGCTCTCCCAGTTTTGGGGAGCACTAGTCCCCCAACTGCACCACAAGCCTCATTTGCAGGAGAACAATCCCACAGAAATCTGAGTTTGATACAGTAGTGGCACCCCAAAAAACTTGCTGCCTAGGTTAGAGGGACTTGGAAAAAGTACTACATGGGAGACCAGATGAGAGGTGCATAAATAATGCAGGGCATTGCACATGCATAAACAAAAATTGCATATGCAGAAAGACATAGGCAGTGTGTTTCTCCTGTTACGCATAATAATTTCTCATATAATTAAAATTTGCCAAATAAAAAGCTGAGCGCCTAATTTCCAGGCAGGGCTGCCCCACAAGCACCATCTGAAACCAGTTTGCCTCTGCAAGACACCACCAAGACACAGAATTCTCCTTTTCCTTCAGCAGCAAGTGCAGACCCCAGTTCTGCCATTCTGACAAAGGGGGCTCACAAAATCAATTCTATTGGTTTAATATAACTTTATAACTGAATAAAAAAAGCCACATCATGAGGTTCTGCGCACATATCTCCTGATTTGCTCTTTCCTGGTGGGAGATGCAAAGCAGGGATTGGGGATAATGAGAAAAAATTAACAGCTAAATGCATAAAAATCGAAAAACCATCCTTCTGTATTCTTGGCAGGTTGTAAATCAGCAGATGTATGTAACAAACAGCAGCTGCTTTTACTCTTTTATCTCCATGACTTGAAAAACTGTTATTTTCCAAGGGTTTTTTTTTTCATTATCTTTAATAATCTCTCCTCTTTTTTTTTTTTTTTTTTTTTTTTTAAATTTAATTAGGCTTCTTTCAAATGCAATTGCAAATCTTTTCATCCTAATCTAGAAAACCCTTCAGTGTCTCTCTGTTCCCATAAACAGACACATTGAAGGATGGAGCAGCATCTCATTCACCCAACAACTGAAGCTTAAGTTTCTGTAGTGGAGCTCCAGGAACAGATATTGATGAAAGAAAAAGATAAGGTTTTAACACCAAATAATCATGCGTTCTTCAGCTTCTTCCTCAAAGTCTAGATACTTCAGAGGAACTGACAGAGAATAATATTGCAGCACTATGTAACAAAACCCTAAATGTTTATCTCACGTGAAATCAGAGCAAACCACTAAACTAAGTGGAAAGATTTTCCTAAATACCATCTAGACCAGTCACCACTACAACAGCTGACAATAACTCAGCTATTTTCCACAACAGTAGAAAGGTAAAATTGTACCTACTTGTATTAAGTAGCATTTGCAGGGACAACACATAATCCCATCTTTAAATTCAGCTCTGTAATACTCCTAATAATCCTGACTGCCCTGAATTCATGGACGTGGTTTTAAATACCGCGGACTCCTGACGAATGCACAAGCTGGGGCCCCTGCTCTGCCGAGCCGCCAGACCCGGCGGGAGCGGCTGGCCAGGGGCTGCAGTTGCTACGTACGGCCGCGCTGGAGACGGAGCCTGTGTCACCATGAGACACTTGCCTGTCACCAGGTGCCACGTCAGCAGCGAGCCCTGGGGTGAGCCGGTTTGGGAAAGCATCCCTCCTGACAGCAGCATCCCTCCCTCCCCTCCCGACAGGCTGGAGAGCTCTGCTCTGCCAAGAGGAGCTTTGCTCACCCACGGGTGCTCCAGCCTCTCTGGTTTGTGAATGCAGCTGAAACAACAACTGCATTCACGCCTGCATTCCAACAAAGCCATAAAGACAACAGGAGCCACTCACCCTGCACTCTCCACCACCACCTCCTCCTCCTCCTCTTCCTCCTCCTCCTTCTTCTCTTCCTCCTCTTCTTCTTCCCCCTCCTCCTCCTCCTCCTTCTTTTCCTCTTCCTCTTCTTTCCCCTCCTCCTCCTTCTTTTCCTCCTCTTCTTCTTCCCCCTCCTCCTCCTCCTCTTCTTCCCTCTCCTCCTCCTTTTCCTCTTCCTCCTCCTCCTCCTCTTCAGCACCGCTCAGGGAGCACAACCAGAGCCTGGGAAGGAGAAACTCATTAGGCAACATCCAGAAAGTATGTCTGAACCTCACAAGAGAAGCACGGCCAGTCTGTGCAAGCCCTTTGGCTGGAGGTGCCCTCTCTCCATCCCCAGCCAACATCCTGGTGGGGTGGACACGCCTGAGCACACGCAGTGTCACAGCCCATTATTGTCTGTGGCCCCAAGCGAGTGAGAGGAAGAACAGGAGAAAGTTTTGGAATTGCTGCTTTTGAGCAAAACTTCCTCTTAATGAAATCCATCCTTCAGGACAGGACCTGCTTGCTGCCCACAGCTTCTCAGGCTCATCTATTAAGGGGACAAAAATCTGAAAAATATTTTTATAGTATGTCCAGTGTTTGCTACCTGAGCAGAAGAGAGCTCTGCTGAGAGAATGTGGCTCTGGGCATTGCTTGTGCTTAGTGCAGTTGAGCATCGCCCATATCGGAAGTGGGGACTGCTGTGCCCTCCCTGCACGTGCACTGGGACTGTTCCGGGGGGCTCCCAAACACTTTTGGAGTGTGCATGACACCCCTCATCCCCCTGCTGCAATGCAGCCTATTTCTGGCTCTGAACACATTGTCCAGTCCTCGGGAGGACCTCAGCAGGGGGTTGTTCTGGAAGACATAGGACGAATTATATAGAGAAGACTACCATTTCCAAATGCTGTGAGAGTTGATGGGAACGAGGTCCAAATCCTCTTGCCGTAGGACCAAAATCCACTCACAGGAAGCCTAAGCAGCTGTCCTCTGCAGGGCAATGTGAAGCACTGCATTCACGGCTCTGCCACAGCCTGCCCCAAACCAAGTATCAACCCCAGAAGGAAAGGCTGTTTGCTCAAACACCTTTTGGGTCCTTCTGGTGCCCCCCTCTTTGGAAACAGGCACCTCAACTGCTTGCTGCCAGCTCTACCACCAGCGCTGGCAAGGAGGGATACACAGGGACGTGCTCATCCCCTCCCATGGTCACCGTGCTGGTGGCCAGAGAGTGTGCAGAGCTGCCTATCAACAGCATCTCCCTTCTCCTACCTGTTTTCTTCTTCCTGTGGTTCCTCCTGTATAGGGTGAAGGGGATGAGCATCTGCCACCAGCTCAGCCTCACGACCCCGGGCCATCATTTCACACGTGGCTTCATTAATCCAGTCATCATCAATCTCTTCCAAGATGAGGTCGGTCTCCTCAGGTTCCCCAGGGACAATATGAACTGAAACAGGAATGGGAAAAGGGGGACGATGAAGGGGGAGCAGCACATTTTCAAGAGGCCAAGGGTAGGGCCAGGGCCCATCCTGTATTTTAGCTCCTTGATGTAGAGGTGCTGCCAACTTGCCTGCACAGACCTGTGCAGCCCTGGTCCCCCCGAGCTGTGCTGGACAGATGCTTTAGGCACTTTTGCCAGAAGGAAGAAGAAAATTCACTATTTTGTGCCAAGCGCAGCTAAAGCCCTATGAAAACTATAACCCTTTGCATACAGATGTCTGTTGGCTTCCCTATGCATGTAGCAACCTCCACCAGCAGATTATTTGGCAATTCTCCAGGACACGTTTTGGCTCTCCTTGCAAACAGCAGCAGCCACAGGAAGAGCCCCAAGCCTTTCCCCTCGAGAACCTTGAGTGAACAGCCCGAGGGCCTTGATTTTTCAGAAAAAGACTCAATCCGGAGCCCATGTTGCGATGCCCCAAGCACCATGCCACGTCTGCTCCAAACACTCCCCTGGGCATGGTGTAGGAAGCATCCCACACACCCCGCCACTTCCCAGCATCACTGGGGGAAAACCCAACTGGGTTACTGAGAATGTTGGACCAGCTGCAAAGCAAAGAGCGTGGGTCTGACCCATGGCCAGCCCCCTCCATGGCCCAGGGGTACCCATCCTATCACATCAGGCACACACCAGAGAAACAGGAGGAGGAAGCACATCCGCATACTGTAAAACCAGTTTATTTTGAGGTCTGCCTGACAACAAAACTTACATGTCTGCAGAGAAGCTAATAGGAAACGTGCAAATTCAACTACAGAAAGGCAGGAAACCCACCCACGGTCAGCTCTGTGCAATATTTACCCACTCCACGGTGCCCATGCTGCCTTTAGCCCACTCCCTCTAGATCTCTGTTAAATAAAACATGGGACAGCAATCAGGGAGATGGCTTTTAAAACACACCACAACTTTTGATACATTATATGAAAATTGTAGCCTGGTACTGTCAGGGTGTATTATAAACACAAGGGATGGAGCTCAGGGTGGTTGCTTGGCTCATGACATCACTACAGCTGCCTAGATCATCCTAGAGAGATGCAATGATGTGGTGGGACACTTTATTGTGACCTTTCGATGTATCAAGGAGGCTTATACAACAGATGGATTCACCAGGGCCTGTAGTCACAGGACAAGGGCAACAGTTTTAAACTGAAAGAAGGTAGATTTAGATTGGACACAAGGAAGAAATGTTGTACAGTAAGAGTGGTGAGACACTGGCACAGGTTGCCCAGAGAAGCTGTGGCTGCCCCCTCCCTGGAAGAGTTCAAGGCTGGGTTAGACGGGGCTTTGGGCAACCTGGGCTAGTGGAAGTGTCCCTGCCCATCTCAGGGGGTTCAACCAGATCACCTTTGAAGGTCACTTCCAGCTCAAACTATTCTGCAATTCTAAGGTCTGTATTCAAAGCCTGGGGTGTAGGGGCTCTCACCCCATCCAGCCCCACATGCCTGCCCTGCCTATGCCTGCCTGCACACTTCTGGGCTGGAGACAGCCCCCAAGATCCCTGCCCTGCCGGGACACTCCTGCCACCATGGTTAGTGCTGCATCTCAAGAGCTGTGAGCTTCAGGACAGAGCGGATGTGGTTGGGGGTAAGGAGAGTTTGTGATAAATTCTCCTATAAGGAGAGCCTTGGAAAAGGCTTTTAACCATTAACTCCTACCTATTGACCTAGAGATTAACCTCACCCACCTGCATTTGCTGCTACAAACCAGAGCCCTTTCCACTTGCTGGGAGAAAACACTCAGTTAATGGAAGAAAAGCATAAGAATCTAACGAGAGCTTAAAGAGCTTTATATCATTACACCTCGGAGGCAGAAGTTGACTGAAAGAAGCCTGTGGGCTTCAGCTGGAGGTCTTGGGGGTGAATATTCAGATGCTAGGGGTGGGTTGAGAGGGTCAGGAGTGCTGGGAGCCTGCAACAGGAGGCTTTCTGCCTCTGAGGTGTCCTGAGTGATGCTTTTCTATCTTCCTATAAATTCTAGCTCCCGTCTCATAGACATCATCTTGCAAAACCAATAGCTCCAGTTCCCAGAGCCAAGAGGGAGCTGGGATAGGACAGCCCTGGGACTGGGGACATGCAGCCAGCCTCCAGTCCCCACTGCCCCAGCTGTAAAGGAGCTAGAGACCATTTGCTTTTCCTCCCCAGGTGTGTTTTCTCCTTGGATTGGTCTCATTTGGTTGTGGGAAGGGCTGGCTCACCATGGTCTTCATTTTCCATTTGTTTCAGAGGCGTTAAGCCCCTTTGCCCCCTGAAACAAAAGGAGAAGGAAAACATTAGTGAGCGTGCTGGCATTTTGGTGCTGGGTTAGGTTTCTTACTTGACCTAATCACTCTGCTCCTTGGGCAGATTAAGTGACCTTGAGATGCCTCAAGGCACCAAAACGAGCTGTAAGCAAGCCAGCCACGCACAATGGGCGTGACTGCCCCACACATGCAGCAGCATCCCACTGGCTTTGCCTCATTCCAAGGTCCAGGGCAGCGCTCAGGTCTCCAATTTGTACAGACACAGAGAAACTACTTCCCACAGGATTTCCTGCTCTGAGATCCCACCAAGTGGCTGCTGGCTTGGTGGGAGGAACCTCCTGGCATGTCTCTTGGGCGATGCACAGCCCCCTCGTGCCGCAGCGAGTCCCTGCTCCCATCAGCAGCTCCCACAGCCCAACCAACCACCCCTCCCCGGGGATGGCACCTGCACAGGGCTGCATGACATCTCCCCTGCCTGCTCCAGCCGTGAAGGCAGGGTGGCTCCCAGGCAGGGTCCCTGCTTTGCTCAGCACCCCACACTGTGGCTGGTGGGGGGAGCCAGGCCCATCTGCTCACAGGGCTCGTGCTTGCTCCCCTCCATCGGCAAGCAAGCAGTGGTGTGAACCCACAATGCTTTTCTACCACCATTCAGACTCACTTCTAAGACATCTTATCCCAGGATATTGTTTTCCCAAGGTACCTCCCTAGACATCTCACACCAGGCTCTGCACACATGACAAAAGGGATGATGAAGGTGGAGGGTTTGAATCCCCTTGTAATCCTTTGATCAAATTCCACCAGCTTGGCAAACATCTTCCAGCACAGCTCGAGGACAGACCTTGATATCAGCACTAACCTCAAAACCCAGGACCTGAGGATTGGGATGCCACACTCAGAGACTCCTACAGCCTGAGTTTTACCCAGCCCGAGCAACAACTCCAGATCTGCTCCTGCTTCTCAAGCAGCAACAGCCTCTCATGGCTTCCCCGGGGGATTTCAGGGGCTCCCCAGCTGGCACCCACAGCAGACTGGGGGATAAAGGCCACCAGCAGCCTCTCTTCCCAGTAACCCGTCTGACCTTGGCAAGCTAACCAGCATGGTGAGATGGAGCAACCACTTACTTTCTTCCACGGGACTCAAGGTTGCTGCAGCCACTCCCTGCCAGGAGGAAAACAGAAACATGAGAGGCCACTCATTTTCAGTAAACCTAAATTTTTACCCTAAATGCCCCATTTTCAGTAAACATGTCTCTTTTGCCCTAAATACCCCTTGTGATTTCTCCACGCATGTTGGATGGCTTGGCCATAGGCACAAGCATCCCCCTGCATGACAGTAACAGAGGCACCAGTGGGCTCACCTGGGTGCAAGGGAAGAAGAGGAGAGCATGGAAACCTGTTGCTGCTGCTTTTCCTTAGAGCTGGACTACACCTGGGTAAGATGCCAGGGCCTGGACACCACACAGTGCCACACAGATAGGTAAGGAAGCAGTGAAGAAAGCACATGGTATGGGCTCTTTTGATGCTTAGAACCCAAATCCTGGTTTCCATCAGCTAAGCAGGTCATGGTGTCATTTTTTCTGAAGGAGCTGTGTGACAGCCCAAACCACATGTCCTGGTTTCGGCTGGAATAAAGTTAATTGTCTTCCTAATAGCCGGTATAGGTTTGTGGTTTTGGATTTAGGATGAGAATAACATTAACATGCTGATGTTTTAGTTCTTGCTAAGCAGTGTTTATACCAAGTCAAGGACTTTTCAGCTTCTGATTCTGACCTGCCAGCGGAGGCTAGGAGGGCACAAGAAGCTGGGAGGGGACACAGCCAGGACAGCTGACCCCAACGAGCCAAAAGGGTATTCCATAGCATGTGACATCATGACCAGTATATAAACTGGGGAGAGTTGGCTGAGGGAGCACCACAGCTTGGGGATTGGCTGGGCATTTGTCACTGGGTGGTGAGCAGTTGCATTGTGCATCACTTGTTTTGTACTTTCTACTATTATAATTATATTCCTTTCCTTTTCTGTCCTATTAAACTGTCTCAACATACAAATTTTACTTTTTTTTCCCCCCTGATTCTCTCCCCGACCCCACTGGTGGGGGGGGGGGAAAGAGTGAGCGAGTGGCTGTGTGGTGCTTAATTGCCAGCTGGGGTCAAACCACGACACCACAGCAGGTCCCAGCACTGATCTGGCGGCACCTGCATGGCAGGGGACCCCGTCCCTGCTGGGGATGTGGCATTCACGTGCCCTTTGCCTATCCAGCAGACAACATACCTGTGTGTCCTGCTTCTCCCTGGTGACCGGCTGCGGCATCACCTTCTCCAGCCCCTGGACAAACCAGGCAAACATCCTGGTGACCAGAAACTACTGTTAGACCTGGTGGGCAGAGCCTTTGCTCCCACGGCAGCCATTCCTCTGGCCACAATACCCACGCAGAAGTTCCTGCTGTGGTTACCTGCTGCCGTCCCCAGCTGGGGACCGTGGGACAACGGTAGCCACCGGCTCCGGCTGTGCCTTGACCACTGCTGGCTCCACTGCTACTGGGATGCTCTGAGTGGCTGAAACACTGCTTTTTGACTTTGCCTGGGTTTTAGCCCCTTTTGTGCCTGATCAGGTTTATTCAGAAAGAGAAAGGGGATAGGCAATGCAGCCATCATCTTATAAATTGTTGGGAAGAGAAGCAAGTAAGGAAGGGTCACCTCCCACAGAAGGACAGGTTTGGGGGACATCTCTGGCAGCCTCTGCCCCAGGGACCCAGCCTGGGACAAAGACATCGGTGGTTTGGGGACAGATGTGATATAGGGGCAGTGTCATGATGGCAGGACCGAGGGTGCCCACCCCTCCTGGCACAGTTGGTACCCCAGGGCACGAGGATGGAGGGCAGTCTGTGCTGGTGCCTGCCTGCACCTGGGTTCTTGAAGGCAGTGTTCCCTCTGAAAGGGCCACACAGGGAAGGGGGACTCACCTCCCGCCACAGCTTCACACTTCTGCTCCTTTGGCTCCAGCTGCAGAAGGACAGAGGGATGGATGGATGTAGCAAATCACTGCCTGTGGCCCCATTCACCCCTGGGTGGGCACATCCCCCACCCCAAGGGGACACACATGCACAGCCCCACACATCCTCCATTGTGGTTTCAGCCCTATTTCCTTGACAAGGACCACTGAATCCAGATCCTGGCTCTGCTGGCACCAGCAGGTCCTGAATGGAGGATCCCCCATATGTCCAGGTTGGGGAGCACCAGAACAGCACCCTGAGATCTCTCTTTCACTCTACTGAATTTCCCCTGGGGTTTTCCTCCCCAGGGTCCCAGCCAGGATGTGCAGGAGGACAAGGACAGGGAACCTGCCCCACTGTCAACTCTCCCCAGCATCTTCCCAGTCTCCTCCAGCCGTGCAGTGCTCACCTCTGGCTTTTTCAGCACCTCCGGCTGTGGCACAATCCTCTCAAAGCCCTGCACCAGCCAGCTGAGCACTCGTGCTCCTGCCCTGCAGGGAAAGCACACCACAGTTGGGCAGCTTGTCCTGTGCCCCTCCTGCATCCCACTGACACCCTCCCCAGGGACCCACCATTCCTCTGTGCCAGTATCTGGGCCAGTGTTGTCATTGCAGTCATCCAGTTCGTCCTCCTCCAGATCGATGGGGATTATCTCTGCAAGGAGAGTGGTGCTGTGGGGATGGGGGAGAGCAAGGACCCACACTGCTGGGACCTCTTGGTGCCCCCATCGGCTGGCTCAAGGGGACAACAGCACCAGCATCACCAACCAGGGAGGTGGGATGTGGGAGTCTCAGAAAGGCCCCCAGGATGCAGCAAGCTGAAGGCTCCCGGCTCTCCTTACCCAGAGCATCCTCTTCCTTGTCCGCGAGGATCTGGACCTCTGTCTGAAAAGCCAAACAGACCGTCACCCTCCCAGCAGCTGAGGTGGGGCCCATCCTGCTGGGCATGGAGATAAACCTACCCTTTCCCCAGGGATGGATGAAGGCAGAAGCCCATGCGGGGCAGGGTTTAGTATTCCCAGTTAGCACTGGGAGAGTGGTAGGAAGGAAAAAAAAAACAAACAAGAAAAAGTAAAAAGAGCTGGAAGCTCAAATATGCCAGACCATTGTCTGGATCTGTCACCTACCTGATCAGGAACATCAATGCTTGTCTCAAAGCTCTTCCCAAGTGACTGCATTGTCCCTGGGGCTGGCTGGGGAATCACCTTCTCCAGCCCCTGGGAGATCCAGGAGAGAACATTGCTCCCTACACTGCCAGGGAAGGGGATGAGTCAGGCTGGAACCCCATCCGAGGCATCCAGCCTCTGACTAAAAGCAAAATCCCAAGCAAACCAAGTTGCATGCAGGAGGGGGCAAAAGCAATACCTCTCAAACACAGAGCCTTGGTCCTTGGGAACTGGACATCCCACCTTCTTTTCTGTTTCTTCAATGGCAGCAGGAGAAAAAAAAAAAAAATCAAGCTCCCATCAGTGCTCCAGCAGCCCCTGGTGTGCTGGGCAGGAGGGGCCGGGCCGGTAATAGAACGCTGATCTGCCGTCAGAGCCAGCGTGTTCCCCCACCCTGGGGGCTTTTACCTTCAGCGCGTGTGCGGTCAGCAGCATCCCCAGGGCCACCAGCTTTTCCTGTTGGTGCCTTCAAGGAAAAAGGCAGAAGGTGTCCGAGTGAGGCACAGAGGATCTGTTCCCCATTCAAAGGTGGCTACAAACTCCAGGGACTCCCCATCCTTCCTGCTGCCTTCCAGCAGCGCGGGGCACGGATTCAGCCTGGCCCCATCCCTCCCGGGGATGCTGCAAAGCATCCCTGGGCTGGACATAGAGGCACAGGGCATCTCTCTGCCATGTTCACAGGATCTGCAATACCCCCCAACTGGCTTCCTGCTCACCTTGGGTGGCTCCGGGTCCTGCACTAGGACTGGCGGCGTCACCTCTGCTGGATGGGGCACTGGGGGCTGGGGAACAACCCGCTCGATCCAGCTCAGCATCCCACCACCTTCGAGTAGCGAGGAGGGGTCTGTGACCGGCGAGAGACCAGCAGCAGTAGCACACACTTCCCGGGGTGCACCAGCCACTCACGGTGTCCACAGAGCAGCCCAAAAAGGTCCTTGGTGTCCTCCTGTTTCAGTGTCCTGTTTGGGAAACACAGAACTGCAGCACAGCCAGACCCAACCTGGCTCGACCCCTCGCCCTTCACTGTTATCGTGCACAAACTACGCTGTCACTGTTATCGTGCACAAACGACGCTATTTTAAGCTCACAGGCTCAGTTAAACTTGTTTTTCCTAAATGTAACTGCTCATTTAGGTGGAGTTTTTTTGCACAACCCTCCACGGCTGGTGTCACACAAGGAGAAGCATTCATGAAGTCGTAGCAGATAGATCACAGAAACTGCGATGCTCTGCTCAGGGTCCTCTATCTTTCATTCAAGGGCTGAAAAACAACAGTAATTTAAGCAGAATTTGGTTATGAGCAAGTTCACATCCCAACACAGGTATCAACTCATTCCACCCCTAGGAAACAACTCTGCTCTGTCACCTTTCAGTCATAGCCCAGGGCCAGAGCGGCCGCCGGGTCAGACACCTGCACTGACTTGCTGTGGCTGCAGAGATGTTGATGAAGTAGGTAAAAATAAGATGTTGCAGAGCAGGGATTCAGCTATTTAAGCTCCATTTGCTCAGTCTTTTTAGGTCCCTCCCATCCCTTCTTGGTGTGACTCTGAGCCGGGAGTACCAGTGAGCTGAGCAGTGCTGCATGTTCCCATGCTTGGGTACAGGACAAACACGGAGGGCTCTTGCCCAGTGCAAAGTGGGGATGTCTTCTGCTGCTGCCCTGCTAAAGACCCCCACTCTACCCAAAATGTCCCTCCAAAGACGCCCCACTCTGCTCAGTGAGCATCTCAGATGGCCCCCATGCTGCTGCTTGCAGGGAAGGGCAAAGAGAAAGCCGATCCCTGAGCTCCATCCCACCCAGCCAGGAGACTCACTGGAGTTTTGTCCTGGGTTAATATATGGCCCCAGTCCCACAGGGCTGGAAGCTGCTCAGCATCGGGCCCTTTGCATTAAATTCACTCAGCTTTTGGGCATGCAGAATGCCTTCAAAACCCTTGAGGTGATTCATCAGGGGCTGACCAAAGCCTGGCATCTTAAATCTTAACTGGCTGAGGTTCTCAGGCAGGGTGATGTGCATCCTCAGCTTTTGCTTGTCCACACCCTGTGCAAGCCCAGGAGCTGGGTCTGGATGCCGCCAAAGCATCGCCCAGCACACCATGAGCAGTCTCAGCTCTCCCAGAGACCCCCACATCCTCACAGTGGGACAGGATGGCTGTAAAACACTTCCCTGGAGACCTGATGCCCAGAAACCAATTAAGAAATTTCCTTTTACCTCCCAGTGGGTATAAGAGATTAAGGAGCTGCAAATGTCCCAGAAACAGCAAGGAAAACCCAGCTGCACCATGCAGCACAGGGGCATTTCCACCCATGCTTCAGATCCCAAAGAAACCCAGGGCCACTGTACACCACTGAGTCCAAAGAAGCCCACAGGAAGACCCATGGGGCTGGAGTGAGCCTCCTGCAACAGCCAAGGTCTCCTCCTCCCTTAACATAACCTTGTGCAGCTATAAAAGCCTGGAGCTTAAGCCTGTCCTTGGCCTGAGAAGAAAAATGGCCAGGGCCATTCCTCCAGTACATCCAAACAAGAGAGGGACAGAAATATTTGTGGGTCCTCAAAAAATTTGTTGTTGGAAGGTGGCACTGAAGAGCAGGCAGCCACGTGCAATTCTTCTGTGTTGCAGGCACCGGCCAGTGCCACCACCCACCATGCCAGCTCCGTGGGGCTCATGCTAGCAGGCAAAGGGCCCTGAGTCTCCACAGCAAGAAGCAGGGTGCAGACCTGCCATCCCCCTTCGGAGCAGGGAGCACTGTGGCCTTACCCTCTCTCCAGCAACAGATCAAGCCCCTCCACATTGCCCAGCTCCATTTCCCTTGCAGCATCACTCCCTACAGACCTGCTCCATCACTCCCCACCACGCGCCCCTGCCAACCTCCAGCTCCGTTCTGGAGCACCGAACCCTCCCGCAATGTGTGGAGGTGGCCCCGCAGAACCCCCAGCTGCATCCCTCACCTCCATCGCCGCCACTTACCCCCGCACATTCACTGCCACCTGCCCGGGAAGCCACCCCCAGGATGCACGGGCTCCCTTGGGCACTGCAGCTTGCCACTGATTCCCCAAACCCACCCCAATCCGCTCAGGGCTCTGCGAGGATTAGCCCAGCGCTGCCTGCAAATGGGATTACCAGCACCCAGCTGTCCTGAATGTCCTGGCTCCTGGCAGCCAGACTGGTTTTCATGCAGGATAGTGCAAAGAAAACACAAAAATCAAGCAGATTTGAGCATCCTCAAAATCCCTGGAGCCACCAGGCTAGCCCAGGCACTCACCAGCCGGGCAGGAACCCAGCAGCGCTGCAGGGAAGCCTGTCGTCTCACCCAGGCACAGGTGGGCGAAGGGATGCACAGAGAAGCAGCAGCGGGGCTGCAGAAACCCCTCGGGGTGATGTGCTGAGGATGCTCCACCCACCCTCTGCCCCAGCCCCAGAGGATCTGTGTCAGGAGGCAGCAAATCTGTGCAGGGCTGAGCTAAGCCTCCCCTTGCTGAGCCTGCCAATTGCTGCTTGATCCGTTTACCTCCAGCCCTAAGTGGCTGCCAGCCTTTCCCATCGCCCCTAATCTCGGCAGTGGTCACACCCTGGAACCCTGGTACCAGCATGGTTTTGCTGCTCGACATCCAGCCCCAGCTTCTGCATTTGGCTGGAGTTCTCAGCCTGGTTCCTCCTTCCCCAGCCCCGTGGGCATCCCCAGCCTGGCAAGCAACAAGTACACAGCCTGCCTGACCCCAACCCAGCACCTCTGCAGCTTTGATTCACAGCTAGGGAAACTGAGACACAGAGTAGTGGTCTCCTAAATTGCACCCTGTTCCCTACCTGCCAGGTCCAGGGAAGCCAACTGAAAGGCATCCTTGTATTTCTGAGAAACCGTTCACTCTGAAGCAGAGTGATGATTGCTTACGGCTCAGCATTAGCCTCTGATTTTAGTGTTAGAAACATGAATCGATGGTGCTTGCAGCACCCTCCCAGGCCTCATGGCTACCAAAGCCATTACCCAGCATCAGCTCTCCCCACTTTGCTGCCTGTGACTCCATCCAGCATATCTGCCCCTGCCCTAGCAGGATTGGCAGCAAACCCTCCATGGTGGCCAGAAGAGGAGCTCAGGGCTCCCACCCCAGGCCAGACAGCCCCAATCATCCCGGTTTCCTCCTCCTCAGGGTGGGCTCAGACCCCTGGCCCATGACTGGCACAGCACCTCTCACAAACTTCCACCCTCCATAGCATGATGGGATCAGGGCAGCCCCTGCCTGTCCCTTCACTTCCCCAGCTGCTCATGCTACCTCCAGCCCTAGCACAGCCCCTGGCCAGTGGTGCTATGGAGCAAGCGAGGAAAGCTGTGTCCATGAACATGCCGAAGCCCTGTACACAGGTGCTGTTGTCACATGAGGCAGATGGGCCGTCAGTGCTCTGGCCCAGCCTGCCACAGTGAGCGGGATGAGCCTGGAGATGGCCACCAGCAGGGTGCTGGGGAGTGCCGAGTGCCAGGGCAGGGGATGCTCCAGCACCCAAAAAAAAAAAAAAAAATTTCTCAGTTTTATCTATTGGCAGCTTCAGCTGCCCCAAATGCATGCCTCTACCTGGGGGGGCAAACCCTCTGCTCCCCACTGTGGGACAGATGCTGACCCCTGCGCCAGGGCTGTGGGTGGCAGAGGAGCCACAGCTCTGAAAGCAGGGCACAAGAGCTTCTGTGTAATGCCTTGACAACCCTGGAGCACCAGGAAAAACCATCCCCGTGAAGGGAGCAAACTGTGGTGGGCACAACAGACCGATGTGCAAGCTCCTGGGGAGCAGCAGAGGCTCCTGGACAGGCACAGCATTAAATTGACTTGCTACTGTGCAGAGGGATCAGCAGTGGGAGCAGCACAGGCTTGAATCCCAAATCCCACACCCCCTGGGGCACAAGCCTGGCCCAGGTCCCACCTCGAAGGAGGTCCCACCTGAGGAGATGGCACTGCCTGAAAGAGCAAAGCAAGGCAGGGACAGGTTCAAGTGGTCTTTTACAGGCTCAGGCTCATGAAATCCTGCAGCGAGGGGTTCAAAAAAATAAGTATCTGCTGATGGCTAAACCTGCATCTCCTCCAAGGACACTCTGGAGACACCTTGTCTTCGAGCCAGACCTGTCTACAAAGGTTTTCAACTTACTTCTGCAAGCAAATGCCCAGGAGGAGCCTGGGGGAGAAAGGAGAAGGCTCTGCTCCTTACCTAGGCAATGCTGCCACCACTCCTGGCATGTTTGCTGAGGAACTGTTTTCCATCCACTTCTGCTGTTCTTTTGGTTGCATCCCTAACTTTTATGTTCATGGGGTAAGGCAGGAGGGATTGCTGATGATAACTGCATGGAAAATAGCTGCCAAGGAGTTAAGATCTTCTAGAAAAGCAACCAGACCTTAAGGGGCTCTTAATAAGGTACCGAGAGGTTGCTCCTACCAACCACTCCTGGCGCTTCCCCAGTCAGAGCCTGGGGCTCTGGCATGTGCAAAAATTACACAGCTTTGCGGTGATTTAGGGAAATCAAAGACAAGAAAGTAAAAGCTCATGCAAAGCACTGGTGGTGCCAACGCAGTTTTCTTGCCTGCCCTGAGGATACAGAATATTTCCTCAAACCACAAAGTTCAAACACAGGCACAGTTTAGGACTATTTGCTGTGGTTTGTATTTTCATCTTCCTATGGAAATCATCCAGCTGGGAATAAGAAATTAGGGCGGCTGGGAAAGGCATTGCCCTTCTGCCACCAGGAATGATCCTGCTTGGTGGCACTAACACCCTCCCAGGGCTCCGCACAGCTGCCACAGAGGGACTGGTGACCCAGTATCAGCGTCAGCTGAGACATGCACATCCGTCCTCTTCCCGAGCGCCTCTCTGCTGTAATTTAAGGAGCTCTGAATGAAGCAGCCAGCTGAGAAGGGAAGTTGAGATGTCTCTCAGCTGTGGGATCCTGGGTGAATGCTGTCCCTACTCTTGCCTCAGTTTCCCATCCCATTCCCTTCCCAAACCTTCAGTCTGAAGCAGTTTTTTGATGATTCAGAGACAAACACACATCTCACCTGGCCTGGGTGTGGGATGGAGCAAGTCAAGTCATCTGCAGGTAGCGGGCTCCTCTCTTGCCATCACAGGATGGGGGGATGCAAAAAAAAACCTCTGGGAAAGCTGAAACTGTCATGCATGGGGCTAGAGTCCTCTGAGCACAACATACATCAGCTTCTGCCTTCTCAACAGGTGCTCCTTCCTGGCAGGCAGAGGATCCTGCCTGTTTCTGCCCTGAAGCTCCAGCAGCAAGTTTTGCCCCAGAGTGGCACACCTCTAGCAAGGGGCAAACCTGCACTGCAGACTCTGCCTGATTTTGCTTTCCACTCCTGAGAGCCTGCCCAGACCCTGCATCTCAACTTTTGGTTACTAGGCAGATGAACCATCATCAAAAAAAGTTCAGGGGAAAGAAAGAAAACACACACAAAACCAGTATCAAGCGGAGTCAGAGCACAAAGACAGACAGGGGAGGGACTGCCCAGCACATGGCCTCCACTTGAGAAATCTTACACACCCACAGGAAGGTATAAATAACTATAAATTTATTAGTAAAGCAAAACCATTTGACACTCACACAGAAAAGCAGGATGTGTTAATACAATATATATACACAGATACATGGAGTATCATCTTAGAAACACACGGAGAGCAGTGCTAAAGGCACTGCAAGCCACACAAGCCTCATCATCCTTGGCCGCAACTTCCCCCGGCCCTGGGAACTCTGCTAGAGGCACAAGTGCAGGTTCGGAGGAGCCTGAGAACCTCACTGGCCATGGAATCCCTTGGACCCACAGCTCAGAGGCATTTGGAGACAAGTCCATGGTTCAGCTCCCACCTGAGGTCCTGCTCTCCCCACTGAGCATCTCGGGCACATCCAGGAGGTGGCGGAGGTGGCTGCAGGGAGATGCTGCGGAGGGATCCTGGCAGCTGGGAAGGATCCGCACTCACCAGGGTGTGGGGGAGAGCTGCCGGCCCCAGGCCTTGCTGCCCTGCCATTATTGCATCTCAGCGTTACGCCTGTGTGTGCAGGAACCTTTCTGCAGGTGAACTCTCCACTCAACAGAGGAAGAGTCAAACTCTGGAGAACAACAAGGGTTTTTTTGCTTATTATTAATAGCCAGGCTCTGGCTGCAGCCTGGACTTGGTGGTAAATACCCAAGAGAAGTGTAGAAAGTGCTCTCCTCCCTTCTAACAGTGCAAGACCTGGCTTGAGTGTCCAGAGATGATCCCAAACCACTGTCAGAGGATGCTTTCCCCTTGCCCCTCACTCCAGCACGTGGGCCCAAAGACATGCCCATCTTCCCACCCAGACTACAGGGATGGCATCTGCCCCCTGGAGAGCTGGCAGGGCTGCCTGGGCATACCCAAGGCCCCACATCTAGCACATCTCAGTCTCCTGCCTGAGGCACAGAGCCCCTCCGCAGGTATTCATTCCCATGGGAACAGAGCGCATTCCCAGGGGAACAGAGCAGTCCGGCCTCGCCCCAGCACCATGACTTCTCCCCAGGAGTGTCTGACAGCCCTTCACTGACTTAACCCCCAGCCTTGGAGATGTGGAAAAGAGACCCACCATGGAAATGGCCACTCCTACCCCAGTGCCTGCTTCTCACAACTCTGCTCTGGCTCCTGGTCCTGGCTCACCAGAGCCAGCTGTACCACAGACACAAGCCAAGCAGCCAGGCCACAGGAGGTGTCCATACCCAGCAGGATGGATGGCCGGCCTCATGGTGGGGAAGGACCAGAAGCACTCACTGGATTCCAGAAAGATTCAGATTCCAAACACCTGATCACATCATCAGTGGTTTGGTATCACCTGGATCCAACCTCAGCCTGCAACAAGAATTTGGAGTGGGGTGGCTGGAGGAGAGGGGCAAGAGACCTGGCAATCAAAATGGAAAAACAGATGAAAACCAAACCACTGCTTACAAATAAAGAATTGAGCAAAGGGCAAAGAAGCTGAAAAGGTCTTATAAAAGTTTTGCTTATATAAGCAAAACAGTTGTGGAAGGGAAGGGGCTGAGACACAGCTAAAGGCTGTGTAGGTAGGGTAAGGGGAAGTGAAGATGGGGAAAAAAGCCCAGGTAACAGCCTACCTTCTTCCTGGACCCTGGAAGCCAGAGGAACAGCAGCCCTAGAGAGCAGGATTTATCTCCTGGACAATATCCACGTCGCCTTCGGCCAGCCTAACCCTCCCCGCTGCCTCCCCTGCAGCGTCCTGCGCTAAAGCTGCCTGACGAAAAGAATGACCCTTCAACCCTTCGGGAGGGAGAATGCCCTACTCCAGCCCTACAGAGCACCTTCAGGTGGTCTGGCAACCAGGTCTTGAAGACATGTGCAAGCACTTGCCACGGGGCTGACGCAACACCAGCTCCAGCACAGTGACCCTCTTGGGTGCTGTGGGGCAGCGAGTGATGCGAGAGGCCGAACGGAGGCTGCGTGAAGCAGCCTGAAAGTGTCTTGAAATAAACGTCAGAAGCAAAGTGCAACCCAAGTAGAGTAGAAAGACCTTTTACTCCCAAGAGGCTTTGGCCCCAACTGCTCTTTGGTTTGAGAAGGAAACACCAGCAGTTAGCAGAGTGCCCTGTGCCGTATGATGCCCAGGGGACACTGGCCCCCCAGCACCACGCTCCTGACACTCACGTGCCTCCTGCTATTTCCATCACCTTTCCCCTCATGGTACAAAACATGACCCAAAGGCACCGCAACGGAGATTGACCTTGTTCCCCCAGGCAACCTGCATGCAACACAGCTGCTCTAACTAGACAATCTCCCTACAAAAATATATTCAAGGCTCTTGGTAGCTGCTCAGCTGCCTGCTCTGCACAGGTTCTCCACCTGCCAGTACCAAAGGCCACCACTGGATTCGACTGGATTTGGGCTGTTGCAAGGCAACAAACAAGATGAAGAGACCAAGTCACTATGAGCCCATGGCCAGTCCTACTCAATGATGCTCTAATGCTGCACCAAGATGTTTTTGAGGCTGGAGACACCTATTCACAGGCACTGGCTGATACCCTGCCCCGCCAAGCCCCCACAAAATCCCCTCTCCCCCAGGCATGGGCTCCCCACCACACAGCCCTGATGATGCTCTCTCTGCCCAGGGTGCTGCCTGGCTGTTGCCACATCCTAAGCAGAGCCAGAGATCGTTGCTGGGACACTGAGGGCTTCCCCAGCTGCTCAGCATGAGGGGAAACACTACCCATCAGTCCCTGTACCCAGCTGGTACCAAGGGGCCAGGATCCACAGCTCCGTGGCCAGCACATGGTGCAGAGATGTGCCCAGGCCCACTGCCATCCTCCTGCACCCCAAGTACCTGAAGCTGTCCAGCCACCCAGGCTGCTGGGGAGGGAAAAGAGCAGGCACAACCATTCAGGGGCCACACTAACAATTTCTTCTCTAGCCAACAGCTGCCTCAAAAAGAAATGTGGGCACAAAAGCCCCTGGAGGCTCCAACAGCCTCTATTTCACACCCTCCTACTACTAAAGAAGAGACTTTCTGCAAGCTCCCAGCTCCAGGCACTGATCCTGGTTGCTGGTGCCATGCTCAAGCAGTTGGGGTGACCTCTTAAGTCCCCAACTCTGTTGGACCTGTGGCAGCTGCACCCAGCTGCTTCAGGCAAGAGCAGAGCTAACCCCACCCCGAGGCAGGAACAGCGCCAGGGTTCAGGTGGGTGCTATGCTCACCAGCTGGCCCCGGACCATGCTCACAGCCCCCATCACCACCAAGCCCTTCTATAAAGACAGGACTAGCCTTCCTTGGTTTTACTCCTCACTTTTACTCCTACAGTAAAGCGTACACTGAACTTACTATACATTAAACAGCAAAAATCAGCTACCTAGAAACAAAGCGCTCTTTAATAATCCAAGTTATCACATTTTTTTTTAAAAAAGATCCAGTATGACATCGAGTTAAACTATACAGTATTTTTTAATGAATATTAACAAACTGCTTAAAAAAAAAAAAAGGAAAAATAGACAGACAGAAAACTTGGTAGGAAGTTCTACATCTTTGAGTCAGCATGAAGCAAGATAACCATCGGTCCTTCTTCCCTGGGCAGCAGAGATCAAGGTCTGCTTTAACCTCCTTTAAAGCTGTGCATGAAGACTCAGCCCCAGGGTCACACCTGTCACAGAAGTGTCCCAGCCCCAAAACCAAACCTCATTTCCCCTCACTGAGCTGGAAATGGAAACAAAAGCCTTTCTTCATCTTTCAGATGAGTGTCCCCTACCAGCAAAGCAGGTACAGCCCAACTCTCTGCAAGGTTAATCTATCTGTACTTGCCATGGACAACAGGTATTAAACTTGTCCTCATCACCTGTGCAGCACATGGGCAACTTACTGGCTGCTGTTCACTAATTACAGGTCACGACAACACTCCTACCTCACACAAGGGCCAGCCAAGATCACAGAAGAGCTGAGGCAGGCAGGGACCTCTGGAGATCATCTAGTCCAACCCTGTGCTCACACAGGGTCAGCTACAACAGGTTGTCCAGGACCACATCCAGTCAGGGCTTGAGGATCTCCACAGATGGATATTTTACTCTCTCCAAAGATGGAAAAGATAAGGCTGGTGGGCAACCTAGTAAGCATGCCTTCAACCTCCAAGGCATCTAACTGGTAACGGGTCTCTTGACCATGAGAAGCCAGCAAAATCCTGCAGAGGAAAACACCTGAGGCTGCATCAACCTTGCTAGGGGAAATTTATTTTTAAGTGATGTTTACAACAACTGTGCAAAACCTGAAAAATACAGAAGAGGTAAAGAAAGAATAAAAGAGTAAAACAGGACTCCTGCAAGAGGGGTGAAAAAAATAAACTCCTCCTTTACCCACTACTAACCTTCCCCTCCCCGTGGAGCCGAGCCCACGGGCCAGGAAGGATTCTCCTGGCTTGCTCTGGGTCCCCTCCAGCAAATCAGTCACCAAGCCCCTGGCACATGGTGTGGGTTACTGTTGGTGATGGTAATGCCTCCGAAGTTGTAGGTTATCAGTAGTGTTCGTCTCACCCTTTAGTGTTTGAACTGCTGGGATGGCCCTTTCCTTGATCCCCAGAGGTAACTAACAGCCCAAGCGGTGCAAAGAGGGAAGGGGCCTGGAGGCAAGTCTTGGCAGAAGAGCTAGGTCCCTCAGGAAGCAGCTCTTAAATGCCATGATCTCATCCAAGAGCAGGGCATGGAGGCTCTTCTCGTCATGCTCTCCAGTAGCGGCATGGTGCTTCCTACTCTTCCCCATGCTGCTGGCAGGGATGGGGGCGGGCAGGCTCACTCAGAACCCCTGTGGAGTGTGACAGCCAGTGACTGCAAAAGCAGCAATGCCAAAGTGCTTTTTGGAGCTGTGTAGCCCCATGGCTTTTCCCTTTCTACACTCTAGAAAGAGGGAGAACAAGGGAGATCAGGGCAGTCAATCAATGCTAGCAATCTGCAATGGTCCTCTCAACTGAGCTTGGACCAAGAAAGTTGGGAGAGCCCAGCAGTGGAAACCTGCTACTTCCTTGCCAAGCAGCACACCTTGGGAGAAGGGAGGGCTGGCTCTGCCTTGCTCCCAAGCCCTCTCCAGGAGGAGAGTTACCCACAGCCCTCCCTGCCAACCCAGCTAGGGCAGGGGAAGAAGGCTGCACACGAAGGGCTGGTGCCCTCAGCGGGCAGCTGAGCTCCCAGCACTGGAACTGCAGGTACAGCATGAACTACAGTTCAGGGGACACCAGGCAACTACAGGCATCGTTTCCTCTCCCCACCTCCCTCCTTCCCTCTCCACCCCTTTGAACTTTTCCTGTTGTCTGTCACCCCTGCGGTACATGTGGCCTATCAACCACCGAGGACAGAGGAAAGTTTACCTGCCCACCCACCATTCCTCCCCTTTCCCCCAAACACACTGGAGGCTGTCTACAACCGAGGAGAAGGAAGGGGAGGCCGAGGCTCAGGAGCATCACATGCAAGCTGAAAGCCACTGCGGGGCGGGGGGGTCTCACGGCAAGCAGGCAGCCACTTGGTAGGCGCCCTCGGCCGTGTGCTGGACACTGTGCTCCTGCAGCAGGCCCAAGTCCAGGAACCGCTCCCCGCACCACATGCACTTGTACTGCTGCTCCCGGGCGTGCACGCTGTGGTGCTTGTTGAGGTGCTCACGCTGCTTGAAGGCCTTCTCGCAGGAGGGGCACTTGTAGGGCTTCTCGCCCGTGTGCACGCGCCGGTGGCGCTGCAGGTCCGAGGCGTACTTGAACCGCTTTTCACAGTCGGGGCACTTGAGGGGCTTCTCGCGGGCCGGGTCGCAACGGTGCTGCACGAACTCAGAGGAGGAGAAAAAACGTCTCTCGCAGAGTGTGCACTTGAGCGGCTTCTCGGCGCAGTGGGCCAGCTGGTGCTTCTGCAGAGCCGAGGCCCGCTTGTAGGACTTGTTGCACACTGCGCACTTGAAGGGCCGCTCCGCATTCTGCACGCACTTGTGCCGCAACAGCTCTGAGGACTGGTTGAAGCCTTTCTGGCACACGTTGCACTTGAAGAGGTTTTCTATGCCGTGCACGTGCTGGTGGTACACCAGGTGCGAGGGCTGCACAAAGCCCTTCTCGCACAGGTTGCACTTGAAGGGCTCCTCAGCCTTGTGTGTGCGGCGATGGCGCATGAGTGCGTACTGCTGCTTGAAACTCATCTGGCAGAGGTCACACTTGAAGGGCCGCTCCTCACTGTGCGTGCGCTCGTGCTGCCGCAGGTCCGAGGGGCGTTTGAAGGCTTTCTGGCACTCGCCGCAGCGGAAGGGCCGCTCCCCACTGGGCGTGCAGGGGTGCTGCAGCAGCTCCGACGACTCCTTGAAGTGCAGCTCGCAGACGTTGCACTTGAAGAGGTGCTCTCCCGAGTGCGCGTACATGTGGCGCACCAGGTGGGATCGGTGCTTGAAGGTCTTCTCACACACCGTGCACTTGTAGGGCCGCTCCGAGCTGTGCGTCCGTTTGTGGTGCACCAGGTGGGACGACTGGCTGAAGCTCTTGTCGCACAGCGTGCACTTGTATGGCTTCTCACCCGTGTGGATGCGCTCGTGCCGGGACAGCTCTGAGAGATGCTTGAAGGTTTTCTGACAGATGGAGCAGCTGTAGGGCTTCTCTGAGGGGTCAAGAGGCTGGGAATGCTCTGCCTCGGGAGACTTGTAGGTCTTCTCACAGATAGAGCACTTCATGGCGTTGCCATTGTGGACATTGTGGTGCTGTGCCAGCGAGGTCAGGAGGGAGAAGCCCATCTTGCAGACACCGCACACAAAGGGCTTCTGCTCCACCTGGATGCACTGGTGCTCGAGGAGGTCAGTGGCCTGGTGGAAGATCTTCAGGCACTGGGTACACTGGAAAGAGCGGTCATGGCCTGGCAAGCACTGGTGCTCATGGGGGTTGGAGAGGTGCGCAAGGTCGTGGCCACACACCCCACATTTGTGGGATGGCTCCCCAGCCTGGATGGGGGCGTGCTGGTGGTGCTGCAGGCCAGGGTCTGGCTGGAGCAGAATGCCGTAGACAGCACAGCCTAAGGGGTTGTCAGCAGTGCTGGGTGGGATGGAGTGCTCTGGGAGGGTGGCTGCCCCAGCGTGGTGCTGCTGTGGTGGTGGCGGCGGCTGCTGTGGTTGCTGCTGTTGCTGCTGCCAGCTTTCTGACATGCTTGGGAAAAAAACCCGGGATTTTAGCAGTGACAGCTTCAGCTTCTCAGTTGAAAGGGTTCAAGTAAAAACAAAAATCCAAAGTATCCAAGATCCTAATTCCTTGTAGCTAATCCCCTGAAGTCAAGGACAGAAAATCCAGCCCACAGCCAGTATCTTGGGAAACAAAGAGGTGACTGAGACTCCAGAGCCTCCTCCTTAGATCAGCACAAGTTCTTTGTGGACTGATTTGGTTTGGCTGTTTCTTTTTTGGACAAAAGAACAGGAGGCAGAAGCAAGTGCCTTTAAGACAAGAGGAGGCCCTTCTCCGTGCTGGATGCGACGCGCTCACATTTGGGAAGGATGAGGGAAGCAGCGCAGGGAGCAGCTCTCTCTGCAAGGAAGACAGCTCATGTCAGGTCTCAGAGGAAAGACTGGCAACTCTCTAGTCAACCTCCCCCCATGGCTCACTTTGAACACTCTCCTGCATCCCTGTAAAGCTACCAGGAAGCCAGCGTGTGGGAGCTAACCGGAACCCCCCTTGCTGCCGCGCAAAGGGCCTGGGACGATACATGCACAGCCTGGAAAGGGTCGGGCTCTGCCCAGCCCCACCAGGCACACGTTTGAGCAGCGTGCTCTCCCGAGAGGTAGCACAACTGCCCAGCTCCCAGAGAGCTCCGCTGTTACCCTCTACGCTGTCAGTGGCTGAGGTTTGCCCAATGCTGTGCAATCAAGAAGCTACCAGGTTAGATTTTACAAATATCAAGACAAATCCCAATCTGATCCCACCCCAGCAAAGCAGTTCTGCTCCTTCTGTGGCTTGGGTATCGGGCACATTACCCAGGGGATGTATACGAGAGATTTCCCCCTCTCCAGGCAGCACTCAGAGACTAGGAAGAGCCAGAGAGCTCAGGGGAAGGTTTGCCCTCAATGTTATCCTATCTGCAGACAAAACACAGAACCCGCAAGGATCGTGCACAACACTCTGTGAAGATGAAAGAAGTGTTAAAGCAATGGCTCAGCTGAACCTCCTACAAAGCCACGGAATAAAAGTAACACTGGAGCCGAACAACCTACATGAGAGGTGCTGCCTGGCTTTACTATAGTAACATCATAGGGGTTTTGCTCACTGAAAAGTTCCAGCCTTTCTAGAGATGTCTGGTAAAACTTGGTATCAACTCAGAGAAGAGTAAAACCTACCAGTGAGGAGCAGACAGCAGCAGTGCCGACACACCCTGAGAGAGGAGAGGTCCAGGCCTTGGCAAGGAGCCCATGCTCCTGTGCCACAAGCCCTCACCCCCACAGAAGCACACCCATTTCTGAGTCAAACTGCCTGCCCTCACCCACGTAAGTCAAACCTCGATCTTTCAGGATGGTGTTTGTTGTGTTGAAAACTAAGCGATATGGAGCCTCTGAGAAACCCACTTCCCAACACTCCCACCTCCCCCAGTGCTCAGCTGAGTCCGGATCGTGCCCCAGAGCTTGGGCAGTGCCAGGCTGTGCTTCTGCCTACAGCGAGGCGGCACAATTCCGGGCAGTAAAATGCCCAAAGGCCCCATCACAGCCCTGCTGGCATGCGAGGTCTCCTCTTCCTCCTATGGAGCTCTCCTCGACTGCCGACGCGAAGGGAGGGCTCACAGTTACACCACCTCACACCCAAGCTTAACGGATACAAAACTTCAGCAAGGCCCAGCCGCCACCTTCCCCCGCAGGCACCGTTACCCACGGCAGGAGCAGCCCCGAGGCGAAGGCATCGCGACCGTCAGGCCTACCGGGCAGGGGAGGCGGCATCCCCCACCAGGGGAAGAGTACGAAATACCAACCTTGGCTTACCGGGGGCTCTGCACGGGTACTGTCTCTTATACACAT